TATGTCCTGTCTCATCCCCAAGCATTGGGGGCAACTGCTTTGTTTGCCCACCGAGAGAGTATCTTGGGGTCTCTGAGGCTTTGCTTCCCGTCACTGCCTTTTTTGGTGTCTGTAGCCAGTTTTGAGATCTCTGGGTCAAATGCTCTAAATTTAGTCTTGCCTTTCTCTCTCTCCCTGCTTTCCCTTCCCCATGTTCTCTCTTGACTGGCCATAATGTGGGATTTGCAGGCATTTTTGGCATTTGGAATAGTTGAACTGTGTGCTATGTTCCTTGTTTTTGATACAAAGCTGGAGAATTGAAGGGCCACCATTCAAGCTTATCAGACTCTATTGTGCGAGGCAATATCATCAGTGATTTCCAGTGGGAAAAGAATATTTAGTCCACCTCCTTCCTTGTACAGAATGAAAAATAAATGATCCGAGAGGGGAGATAGCCTACCTCCTAATCATCATCATCATCATCATCTCACATTTAAGGTTTGTAAAGCACTTTACAGGCATCACCTCAATCCTCCCAACAACCCTTCGAGGCCTGGATATTATGAGCCCCATTTTACAGATGGGGAAACTGAGTCTCGGAGAGGTGACTTGCCCAGGATCCTGGAGCTCAAAAGTCAAAGGGGCATGATGACTCAGACATGTGTCCTAGAGGCCTGTAGGAGGTTCATGGAGCTCTCTCTGTGGTGCTAGAAAAAAAAGTTCACTTGAGGGAGCTAGGAGACGGGGTAGACTGGCTGTCCTTTAGTTAAATGGGGGTGATGATTGCCTTAGCCTGCTTGGCTGCAAGGGACCAAAAGAGTCTGTGGCAGTTTGATGTGAGGAGAAACTTGTGGGGAATCTGAGCCATTTGCCCACGTGGCTTTGCTCTTACTCATTGTCTTCATATAATCTCGAGAATTTCATGCAGAGTTGGAAGAGATACTGAGTCCAACCCTGGTTGCATGGGCTTCCCCTGAGCCAGACTAAGGCAGCCAATCTAAGCCCATATCAGTCTGCTGCCCTGTGGTCAAGGGGGCTCCCTGTTGAGGTGCATGCTTGGACTAGATGGCCTCAGAAACTCAGGATGTCTCTGCAGCAGAGAGCCAAGTCTGTAGCCAGTGTGGCCATGGCCTGGCTGGGTTCAAGGCCTGCCACATGTGATGGGTTAAGTAACCAGGAGCCCAAGGTTATGGAGCTGGCAGAGCTTCCACTGTGAAATGGGGAGAATAGCAGCTGCCTATCTCCCAGGCCTGTGGAAAGAGAGGACTTGGCTTAGTGACCTCAGAACAAGGCCGGGGATGGGAACACTCGTGTTACAAACTTATTCTCTGATTTGTTTGTGGTCTGGATGGTTTTCTGGGTCAGGGGCGCTCAATAGAAAAGAATGGTTTCCAACTCAGTTTTAAAACAGTTTCTGTTCTTTGGTTACAAATCAGAACAAAAAAAAAAACCAAAGTGGCCCTGGAGGCCTAAGTTGTCATTGGGATGGGCAGGGCTCCCCATCAGTTAAGAGAAGGGGACTGGGCCAAGGCCTTGAGAGCCTACTATGAGTGGGTGGATCCGTGGGAAAACTGGCCTGGCTGTTCCATTCTAGGCTGTGTGAATTGCTTCTTTGCAAAACCAGCTTTGCTTGAAAAAGTGACTTCATCCAATTTTCAACACTGTTACCGAGGCCGAACAGAAAAAAGGCCAAAGCCTGGAAAGCCTGGGCTGTCTGAGGGCTAAAGCATTAGGGTGGGTGGAGGAAGGCCAAGTTCTTGGAAATGGTGGGCGATTGCTTAGACACCACCTCACACTTTGGGGGCAGTGATGTGGAACAGTCCCCTTCAGAAAAAACTCAGTCTTCTTTCATTCCTGTTGACTTTTAGGCTGGAAAGGTCCTTAAGTAAATCTGTGGCTTAAAACTTCGCTTCTGCCTTTAGAGTGAAGGCCTGCTTGGCTTATCGAAAAGGCTTATTTGGTTTGTAAGATCCCTTTCTAGTAGGGAAGGTAGCTCCCTAACAGAGCATCATTTCCTCTTTTCCTGTCACCAGGAGTGCCTGTGAGATGCCCTAGGCTCCTGGCATTTAGGAAAAGCTAACGCTCTGTCTGTTCCAGGCCTTCCACTAAGCACTGGGCATACAGAGAAAGGCAAAAGCCAGCACCTGCCCACAAAGGGCCCACCGTCTAATGAAGGGGAAGTGGCACGGGTAAGAGTTGTATCCTAAACTTCCAAGCCCTGGATCACATGAGACTGGCTTTTTAGCTTCAGAAAGTTAGGGGCATCCATTGTTTTAGGGCTTGGGGTCCGAGAATTCAGGTTTTGTTTTTCGAAAAAAGATCAGGATTGTGGTGTTTCAGTCGAATTGGTTTCCTGTGTAGTCATGTGTCTTTTATTTTGTGCACAGAAAAGTATTGTCCTGGGAAAGGCTCTGCCCATCGACTAGCTTCCCAGTGCCCTCCCCCAACGAGGCGCCCTGGCTGTGTTGAAATCGACCCTAGACAAAGGAAGCACCAGGGCAGCTTTCATCTAGGCAGGAGGGCTTAACAATGATTTTTCTTTTTCCGTTTCTTGACATGTTTTGACACAAGATGCTTCCCTCAAATGCTCAAACAACCTCCTTACAATCCGGCAACAGTGATAGTCAGCTCCTTTGGAGAGAGCCTCCTGGGAGCCTAACTGTGACATGGGACTTCCATGCCAAGCTGTGAGGGCCTGGGGACAGCCGGCCAGACTGGACAGCCAGACTCCTGTGCTTTGGGACCAGCCTTAGCTAAGTTCTCTAGACCTTCTTCCATTTTTGCCTTTTCCAGCCCTGGCAACTCTGTAAGACTGGCTCTTTAGGCAGAGGTGTCAGACCCGCGACTCCTGAGGCCTGCAGCCTTCCGGATAAATATGAAACTGGAAAAGACAGGGAAAGATGGAGAATGTCAGCAATGGGCAGCCTTTGGGAGCCTTCTTGCAGGTTGTGATTTGAGTTTGACACCTCTGAGTCAAGGAGGGAGTGCTTGAGGTCTGCCCTGGTGGAAAGAGGCCAGCCGCAGGGCAGAATCCCAGCTGACGATCAAGGGTCCTTTTGCTGCCCCATTCCTGGAAAGGACATTAGGCTTGGAGGCAGGAGACCTGGTTTAATCCTTGCTCTAATACTTCCTACCAGGAGCAAGTTGAGTGGCCTCATTGGACTTCCTCAGTTTCCTCCCCTGTAAAGTGAGGGTGTTGGGCTTAGCTTGGAGATTGTGCTATAGTCTGGGAATGCCAGAAGTCTCAGATCCTAGTCTGGGAGTGGGAAGGTTGGATTTATTTTTGCCGCTGTTTGGTGATTGTCAATAAGAGCTCATCTCTAAGTATGGCGTGAGAATGCAGGAGAGCATCTGCTGATCATAGGGAAGGGCTCCTGGAGTAGCAGCTGGGTCCAATTCCAGGAGTGCCAGCAGGAGACAGGAAGGAGGACATTTGGGGGCTACTTAAAGCTGACTTTTGTAGACATTTGGGAGAGCTCTCTTTCTGAAGCGTTTCCATCTCTGCTCTTAACTCTGGTTTCCCCCAAGTCTCCCTCCAGAGAGGGCAGCCAGATATGGGCCTGGCCGGCCTACTATTATGTCAGACAATGCAATGCTGATGATGACGGTGATGATGCTGTGGGGCAGGGCTCCTGAGGAGAGTTGGCCCCTGAGCCCCGCTACCACTACAAGGCTAGTCCTGAGGGCCCATATTTGCCAGCCTGCTGCTGCTGCTGCTGCTGCTGTTCCAGGCTCCCCTGGCTTCACCCCCCCCCCCCCCCCCCCCCCCCCCCCCACCCTCTTATGATGAACGTCTACACCAAGGTTGGCTTGGCCACTCTCCACTCTGGCCACTGGCACCAAGCCTGATATTTGGGTTGGACCAGTCAGTCATCTCAGAGCAAGTGAGGGACTGAGGGGACATCACATTTGGGCAAGTGCTTTGTTACATGTATTCGAGCTGTTCAGAGGGTTTCCTTGCTTCCATATGTGATCTCTTCTGGAAGACTGCCATCAGGTACTGACCTGAAGACAAGGGTCAAAAAGTGGCTTGGGATGGTGAGGGGGCTTTTGTTCAGAGCAGCACTCGGCACTCAGCCTGAGGCCATCTCATGAGTTCCCCACCTTTATGACTTTCCCTCTGGGATTACCAGGCTCATGACTTTGAAAAATCTCATTGTTTGGGCATGGTATCAGCACATCTGATCCTGGACTGGTGGGATTTAGTAGTCTAAGTGTCTACTCTCAGGCTGGTAGGCCCTGGAGTGGTCTGGCTCTGTCTGGGGAGAGGGATGGGGTGGTGGTATAGTATTTCAGTTTCATCTCCCAGGCATTCCGAAAGGAGGGTTCAGTCTGTGATATGGCTGGATCAGCATCTTTCCTGATAAACTTTGAGTTGGCCCTCACACTCAGCTGCAAAGACTTTCTGAAATGGCCATGAAATAGGTGCCATTTGGCCTGGAAAGGACTGTCTTCAGTTCACTCATTCGGCAGAAAGGCTCCACAAATCTAATGTGGTGAGACCTCTGGGAACTTTGACTAAGTATGGTGAATGACCAGCTTTTGTATTGGTTTCTGCTATTTGACCTAAGAGTCCAGTATAGCTCTGGCTTCTTCTCGTAATATATTTGATCAGAGTAAATGGTTGACAGTCTTTACAGTATGGACATTACTGTGCACACATGACTTTCTTTTGTCTTACTTAAAATATCACAATCCTGTATTTTCCTTTGAATCTTGCTAGAGTTTAGCTGGAAAGATAGCTGGGAGATTGGGAAGCTTTTGGCCACCCCTTTCCAGATGTGGCTTCTGTTTCTCTGGGCTTGTATACAGTTGGAAATATGAATATGATGAGATATGGGGACTGGGGAGCTGGAGTTCAGGAAGGGCCTAATACTGGAATAATCATGGTTAAGACATGAATGATGACAGAATCAAGACTTTCTTTTTTTTTTTTCCCAAAAGGAGAGAAAATAAAGTTTTCTTTCTTAATGGTGATTTCCTTTGTGAAATGATTTTTTAAAATGTCCTCTTTTCTTCAGGTTGCTATGGGAATTCCATATAACAGCAGGAAAGGACAAACATTCCAGTGATGTTGATGCTTGAGATGTAACTGGCCTGAGGAGCAGAGAGTGTGAACAGTTCTGTGGCAACCTCAATTTCACTGCGATGGCTACAGATTCGGGGGAGCCAGCAAGCACCGAAGATTCAGAGAAACCTGATGGGGTCTCTTTGGAAAACAGAGTTCGTCCAGTGGCTGCCGCATTGACAATGGAGATTAGGCTGAAGGAAAATGCTAGGGCCTTCTCTGCTTCTGGGGAAACCTCTGAGAGGAACAGGGTCTTCAGGAAGAGCATGGATATGATGGACAATGAGCCAGGCTCCAACTCCTTCCCTAAAGAACAGAGTGTCCAGGGTGCCCAGAGAACAGCTCAACATGCCACAAACAGACTGGGCAGGGGACAGGAGGCTAGTAAACATGACCGGGGGTCAAAGCCAAATCCTGAAGCCCCCAAAGACTGTTGCAAGGAGAAGAGCGAAAAAGAGATGGAGGAAGAAGCAGAGATGAAGGCGGTAGCAACTTCCCCCAGCGGCCGCTTCCTGAAGTTTGACATTGAGCTGGGCCGAGGAGCCTTCAAAACAGTGTTTAAAGGGCTAGACACAGAGACCTGGGTGGAGGTCGCCTGGTGTGAGCTGCAGGTTAGTGTGCCCTCAGTAGGGAAACAAGCCCTGTCTCCAGGCCAACCAGACCCAGGCGGCTTCTCCCTCACTCTCACTATCTGTCCGTCTTTCCATCTCTGTCACCCTCCTTTTTCTCTCTTTCTCTATCTCTCTCCACCCCCTTTCTCCCTTGCTCTCTCCTCTCTCTCTTGTCTTTCTCACCTTCCCTCCTCTGTCTCTTTTCCCCTTCCTCCCTCCCCCCCCCCCCTGCCTCCTCCCCCCCTCTCTCTCTCTCTCTCTCTCTCTCTCTCTCTCTCTCTCTCTCTCTCACACACACACACACACACACACACACACACACACAGTCTCACACTCTGTCTCTTTCCTCCCCTTCTTCTCCCTTCATTCATTCTCTCTCATCTGTGTCTTTTCTTTATACTAATTTAGAGGTGTGCCTGTTTGGGTTTCAGCGTGTTTCTCCTTCAGTAAAAAAAAAATCATATCACTCTCTGTAGCCCTCACTTGTAGAAGGAAGACAGTGCCCAGGTCCTTTGCCCTTTGGCCTTGCTAACTCTGGTGAGTTGCTGCTTTGTTCTGTTCAGGCAGGGTTTGGGCTGACTCAGGCTTCGAGGCTGGATCTGAGCCTTTTAGGTGGCATCTAGAAGAGGCCATGGCAAAGCCTCCCTTCGTACTGATGCCCAAGACCTCTTTGAAGTTAAGAGACACCACAACCCACTAGGCTGTCGGCAGTTGGGAGCTGTTTCCCTCTGGCTGCATAGGGTTACCTAATGCTTTGGAATGTAGCTAGGTGGTGCTGCAGTGGATAGAGCTCTGGCCTTGGAGTCAGGAGGACCTGAGTTCAAATCCAGCCTCAGACACATACCACTCACTCGCTGTGTGACCCTGGGCAAGCCACTCAATCCCGATTGCCTCACCCAAAAAAAGAAAAAAGAAACGTAGACCTTATGATTATGAGGGGGGGAGTGCAATGATGAAGACATGCAGGAAGTGAAGTGAAGTGTGGCCGGCTTGGCCTAGAGGTTGTGGGGAGGCTCAGCACAGGCTGGAGAGTCCAGGGCTTGGGGACTCAGCTACTTTGGGTTTTGAAGATTTGGAGAACTGGATTTCCATAGGATCGGTTTCCTTTGTCATTTTTCCATCCTCGGTATTTTATTTCTTTTCTTGAAAAGGGTCCCTGTTCTAGGCCAGCCCCTTTATTTTCCACAGGGGGCAGGGGGAAGATGAGAAATACAGGTTGCCCCGACTCCCAGGGGCTTCTGGGCTCCCTTTCTTTTTCTTCATTAAAAAATGAATTTCTGGGGCAGCCAGGTGGCGTCATGGATAGAACACCGGCCCAGGAGTCAGGAGGAGCCGAGTTCAAATTTGGCCTCAGACACTTGACACTTACTAGCTGTGTGACCCTGGGCAAGTCGCTTAACCCCGTTCCCTAGCAAAAACAAAACAAAACAAAAAAACAAGAATTTCTGGACATCTTTAGTTTTTATATGACCTTCATTTCCACATCCATCCCCATCCCTAATAACAAAGACAGTTCAGCCAACCCGACAAAGCCATCAGTCAACAGCATATATAGCATTGTACACCCATGGCACCCCGCCTTTGCCAAGATGGGAAGGAGGCATTGCGTGGGCCCTTTCCTGGGAAGAATTCAGACTGGCCCTTGGGACTGGCTCCAGTTTTGCATGGCTCTGCTGCGTTGCTTTTGTTGGCCATCGACGTGTATTTGGCAACAGCCTGGGCAAAGGGCTCAGCTAGCAGTCACTGAGGATTTTAGGGTCTCTGCATGGTGGGGCAGGAAGCAACTGCATCTGCTCTTTGGGCTCAGTTAGTTTAAGAAGTGTCAGAAGTGACGAGGGTTCCCGCTGTCCTCCGTGCCCAGTTTTCTCCAGGTTACATGTGGCACGCATGATGTAGCCAGATGTTCAAGGCAGCAGAGAGGCTTTGTTGGCAACATCTTTAAGTCTCCAATCCCTACCCACTGGGGAAGGGAAGGAACCGTAACAGGCATTGATCCAGCACCTACTATGTGCCAGGCAACTGCACAAAGCACTTTTACAAATACTGTCTCACTTGATCCTCACAACAACCCTCCAGCTGGTTGCAGAAAAGGAAACAGGCAGATAGGTGAAGTGACTTGCTCAGGGTCACATGGCCAATAAGTGTCTAAGGTCAGATTTGAACTCAGGCCTTCCTGCTTGACCCGAGACCTGGCACTCCCTCTAGTGGAGTATCACCAGCTGCTTCTAACTGGCATTGGGCTTTGTTTCAATTCAGGAAATGACTGAGTGAAGGCTCCTGGTCAGAGCTTCTGGGAAGAGTGTTGACCATATGGTATTTAAAGGAGGCCTGTGGAGTTACCAGGAGAAGGCTGCGAGCCCTCGGGAGGGAGGGGGCCTCAATTATAGAAACTGGGGGATAAAATAGGATTCTAAGAACATGGTCCCAGTTTGAGAGACAGAGAAAGAGATAGAGACAAAGAGGAAAAAGAGACAGAAGGAGAGACAAGAGGAGAGAGAGAAGAGAAACAGGAGAGAGGAGAAAAGCAGGAGAGAGACAGAAGGAAAGAGGAGGAGACAGAGAAGGAGAGAGACAGAAGGAAGAAGAGAGAAGCAAGACAGAGACACAGAGGAGAGGGAGAGAGAGAGAAGAGAGACAGAAGGAGAGAGACAGAAGTTGAGAGAGAGGAGAGAAACAGAAGAGAGATGGAGAAGAAGAGACAAGGAGAGATATACAAAGATGGAGAAAGAGATGGAGAGAGGAGGGAGACAAGAGAGAAGAAGGAGAGACATATAGAGAAGGAGAGAAAGGAGACAGAAGGAGAGTGGCAGGAGAGAGACATAGAGAAAGAGGAGACAGACAGAGACAGGAGAGAGGAAGAGAAAGAGATGATTTTTGGTAGATGTGACTTTCCCTTGGCCTTGGACTGCACGAGATCAGCTGAGTGTTTATAGAAAGGGGGCTTGGGAAAACTCCGCCCTTGGTGTGTGCATCCTCATCAGATCCCATTTCTGTCCCATGCTGCTTAGCTGGACCAGTGTACAATCAGGATTCTCACTTTAAGGAGATACTGAATAATACCATGAACCAGGGTGACCAAATGCTAAACGCTGTTATTAAAATGCTCAGTGAGGTAAGCCTGGGTGGCTCAGTGGATAGAGCACTGAACCTGGAGTCAGGAAGACATGAGTTCAAATCCGACTTCAGACACCCTAGCTGTGTGACTGTGGGCAAGTCACTTCACCCTGTTTGCCTTAGTTTCCTCATATGTAAAATGAGCTAGAGAAGGAAACGGCAACCTACTCCAGTATCTCTGCAAGAAAACCCCAAAAATGGGGTCATGGAGAATTGGACACGACTGAGCACCGACGACATGAGGTAAGCCTACCCAGTAAGGCACTGGGCATTTTCTTAAGTCTTTAAGGGCGCTGGGACAAGGCTGGCACCTGCAAAACGGTTTTGGACCCCTTGTTTTGAAATTGCGTTGAGAGACCTCATTGGCCAGCTCATCTCCATTGCTTCCTTTTGATAGTGGGGCGGATCGCAGCAGGCTGGTTGGAAGGGTGGCTCTCCCAGTTTTCCACAAAGACTGACCCAGCTTGAGTGGCTTTATGGGCCAAACTGGCCGATCTCTTTCTAAGAGCCAGTGTGGGTTAGGAGGAAGTCCTTGCTCTGTTCTCAGGGTCTCTGGGACCAAGTGTGGGCAAGTCACGATGGTGCTCCCAGTGTGCTGCGTACCTGGCCCAGGCAGCCTCCACTTCTCTGCTAGTTGTCTCTAGAAGCCCGCCCCAACCTCGTCATCATTCCTCCTCTGGCTAATAAAGTAGAGTTGGGGGACCGTGGAGTCCAGACAAGGAGGTAGATGCATGTAGCCAACCTGGGCCTCTGGCACTTTCACTTTCCCAGAAAACCTTTTGTTCTCAACATTTCACACTGAACACAAGCCCCCGAGACAACAACTGCAGTGATTTACCAAAGAGCATTGGCCCTTTTGCAGCACTTAGCATAGTGCCTAGCACACAGGCAGAGGCTGGAAGGTTTTCCTGCCCAAGTGCCCTTCCTCTGGGGTCATGGGACAGGTGGGGCACAGGGTGGAGGGGGCCTTCTGTTCTCTCCCAAGTTTTCTCTTCACGCTGCATTTCCCTATGTCTTCCTGACCTTCTCTCCTGCACTTCCACCTTTTAGGGGGTTGCCACAGTATTGTTTGATGCTGCCAGGCTGTCATGTGTTCAGTGTGTCCCTGGCCTGCAGATGTCTGGTACTTGGCTACTCGGATGCTGATGGAATGCAATCACGCAATTAAACCCCACATTTTTGCTCTTAGAAATAATATGGACACTAGTATTTTTGTATTGATTCTCATTTTTTAAAAAAATCCTTAAGGACACATAAGGGGCAGTGTGGCCTCACAGCCAGGAAGACATGGGTTTAAACCCTTGCCCCCGACACCTGTTAGCTGTTTGATTGATGCCCTAAAAATTTGGGTGCCCCTGTTCTTCCCCCACCCTAGACTGGAATGGAATCATTCAGCCCCCACTCCCATCCCCCAGAAGTGCCGCTGTCGGTGGGTAAGCAGCTTTGTGTGCCTGCTGGAGGCCTGGTGCTGACGGGTCTTGTTCCTTGGCACACTTTCTTTTTGCTCAAAGCTGTTGTACTTCAGTGCGGGTCTTGGCAGTGCGACCCAGATCTCCACAGCCACATGTAAGTTGTTTCTCAGAACTTGGCTTTTGACTTCAGCCTTTCTGATCCCCGGGGCTTATTCACTCTGAAGTGGGTAAACTCGGAAAACTGAGGCATGATTCATTCCCAGGACCACAGCACCGCTAAAAAGAGAACCCTGTCTGTTCCCAGGAATGAGCAACTGAGCCCTTCCATTGCCACCATCTAGGGAAGTCTGCAGGGGCCATCCCTCCCTTCTTGAGACAGTTTAGGCATCCCCCCGCTTTGCCCCAGAGAGCAATCATCCATTTCTACAAGACAGGTTCTGCCTTAGCAACTCTGTCTAAGCAGCCAGAACCTTGGACATCCATCAGTCAGTGAGTCACTAAACATTGATAAAGCACCTACTATGTGCCAGGTACTGTACTAAGCCTGGGGATGCAAAAAGAGGTGAAAGACAGCTCTTGCCCTCAAGGACCTTAGAATCTAATGGGGGAGACAATAAGCCAACATGTATAAACGAGCTCTGTACCAGATGAATAGGAAATAATGAACAGAAGGAAGGCATTGGAATTAAGAAGGGTCAGGGAAGGCTTCCTTACTCGTGTGATGACGAAACTGAGGCAAGCAGAGGTAAAATGACTTGCGCAGAGTCTCACAGCCAGTAAGTGTCTGAGGTGGGATTTGAATTCAGGTCTTCCTCACTCTGTGCCACCAGCTGCCTCATATCTGAGGGATGGTACAGCGAGAGAGGTTACATACTGCTGTTTGGTGAATAAGAGTCGCTCCCCATTCTAATTCACTGAAATAAAAGCAGCTCGAATCAGCTTTGAAGTGACTCCGAGGCTTTTGGGGTATGTTTTCCCTGCCCTTTGCTTTGATTGACCCATTGGGGGCCCCCCCTCTGAATCTCAGGCCCCTCTGCTAGTGTGGCCTCTTGGAGAAGTAAGGTCAGGAGCAAAGGTTCCAAGGCATTTGGCTTTTGAGGCGTTGTCCAGATTAGGCAGAAGTCAATTCCTATTTGTCGATCCACTCTGCAAGTCTGGTCACATCTGTTACAAGGGCTGGCTGGCTGTGTCTTTGGGTTCATTATTGACGTGCCTCGGGGCAGTGTGTTCCCAGCTCTCCTGGCTAGACTTGGTTGCTTCTGTTCTTTGGATGATTCCAGCCCTAACCCCAAGGCCTCATCTTGGAATCCCAACTTGATGCTGGGTTAGCTGTAAGCTCAGAATCAGAAGCCTTTTTGCTCAGTCAGCTCCTCCGAGTTCATGGCTTTTCTCCCCCTTCTTTTAGTGGGCCTCCAAGGCTTTCTGGCTCAACCCTAGATGGCCTGCCAGTCTGCCATGGCAGATTCCAAAAGTGGCAGGTTTGAAGCAAGTGTTAGCATTTGGCATTGTCATTTTACCACGTTGACAGTAGGGAAGTGGGCCTCACAGTCTGGGCTTCTGCTTCCTAGAATTAGTGGGATTTTCCAAAACAAATGTTAAGTGAATCATCCCCCTAATTATTTGCCAATAGGGGAGGAGGAAATTTGATCAGCATTCTTGCAAAGAAGCTTGTGTGGGAGTGCAGTTGTCTCATCAGCCTCGGACTGGGCTCCCGCCTGCCCTAATTGCCAGGCGAGCATTTAGGATTGTGAGTTTCCAGAGCTCACACAGGTAGTCAGTGGGAGACCTGAAAATTGCCCCCAAGTCCTGACTCCAGAATTGGTGATGCTCCTACCTTTTCTCTGTAGATTTGATGACTAACTCTCCCCTTTTCCTTCCTTTCTTGTGAATCTTGTCTCTTGTGGGTGTGTCTGGTTTTTGCTGGTGGTCTGAGAGAGCATATGAGGGTTAGCATTCCAGTCTTTTTTGCTGTCCAAGTAAAATATTAAGAGATTTGGGGACAATGTGGTTCCAGAACTAACTACTTGCTAGGTGACACCTGACCAAAAAAGCAGTGGTTGTTGGGAAGTCTTGTCAGTAGTTAACACAGATTCTGACGAAGAATCACTCTTTTGTCTGTTTTGGCTAGTGAATGAATGAATGGGGGAAACAGCATTGATATGTCACCTACTATGCACAGAGCCCTGTGCTAAGTGCTGGAGATAGAAACAGAAAGTGGAGCCAGGCCCTGCTGTCTCGAAGCTCCCATGGTGATGGTGGGAATGGACCCAGGGGCAGGGCAGATGGAAAGGCCCCATGGTCCTGAGGGGGCAGCACTATGGGGGGTGCTGGTCATAGCCCTTCTCATGGCTCATTTCCCCTGAGAAAACCAGAGCAGCTTCATGGGGAGCTTTCTGACGTCACCAAGATTCTTGATGTCTAAGAACTTTTTTGTGTGGGAAATGATTTTTAATCTCACTTTGATTCCAAAATCCCTTCTCCATTTCAGGATCGGAAACTGAGCAAAGCTGAGCAGCAGAGATTCAAAGAAGAAGCTGAGATGTTGAAGGGTCTTCAGCACCCCAATATAGTCCGATTCTATGACTCTTGGGAATCCATAGTGAAAGGGAAAAAGTGCATTGTTTTAGTGACTGAGCTCATGACATCAGGCACTTTAAAGACGTGAGTTAACTTGCCTTTGGGCTAGGGTGTGCAGGTGTGAGTGGGTATACGTTTGTGGTGTTTGTGTGGGGGGGGGAGTGAATGTATGTGTGTGGGTTGTGTTGTGTGCTCGGGTAAATATGGGTGTGTTTGTGATATGTTGGGGTGAGGGTGTGAATATGTGTGTGTCTGTGGCTTGGGGTGAGTGTGGCTGTGGGGGGAGTGAGTGTGGGTGTGAGTTTGGCATGTAGTGGAGGGGGTGTGAATGTAGGGGTAGGGGGAGTGTGTGGGTGTATTGCCAATTGAGAGTCCTCTGTTCCATTCTTTCTGTCCTGGACCCCCGATCCCCCCCCCCCCCACCCTAATATTTTTGGAAATTAGAATATAGATAGTCCTAAAATTTACTTCCTTAAGACTGTGGACTTTGTGAGCACACTCTGGATTGGCTTGAAAATACAGTGTTAATTCAGGTCTTTTGAAGCAACATTTTGGTAAATTAAACTATGTAGGAAATTTTCTTGCCTTAGAACAGCTGGTGACTTGGTGGTGAGAGGGCATCTAGAGGCAGGAAGAGCTGAGCACAAATCTGGCCTTAGATGCTTCTTTAGCTATGTGACCCTGGGCAAGTCACCTCACTGCTGTCTGCCTCAGTTTTCTCATCTATAAAATGGGTTAGGGTTAGGTTTTGCAAAGCACGCAAGTGCTTGAGAAACATGCATTTCCCTTTCCCCCCCTTTTCCTGCTTAGTGTTAGGTCTTGTTTTTATAGAAACCATTTGAGGAAATCATGGTGTTTCAGAAGGGGGTGATCCAGTGTCAAGTGTAAGCTCGTTGTCTTTCAACAGCCAAACATCAGAAGGGTTAGAGGGTCAGCAACTTCTCCGAGGTCACCCCAGCTAGCTCCCTTGGCCTTGATCCCAAAAGCAGGCATTTCTGCAGGTCTTGGGTGACCTAGCCAGGTGTTCCGCAAGGCTCTTTGTTTGCATCTCACCAGCTCTAAGGCAAAAGAAGGGACTTGGCCACTCCTCCTGGCCCTTTGGAGATGCCATACCCTTGCCTGTCTGCTGGTGGAACCTTCGCCCTCCAGGGGTGCTGGAAGCCAGAGCCAAGGCAGATGGGGGAACCTAGGAATACCGATGGGGAAGACACTGATTCTTTGGCTCCCAGGGGTGAGACTTCATATTTCTCCATGTAGGTACTTGAAACGGTTTAAAGTCATGAAGCCAAAGGTGTTAAGGAGCTGGTGCCGGCAGATTTTGAAGGGTCTGCAGTTCTTGCACACGAGGATGCCACCCATCATCCACCGGGATTTGAAGTGTGACAACATTTTCATCACTGGCCCAACTGGTTCAGTGAAGATCGGGGACCTGGGTCTAGCCACCTTAATGCGAACATCATTTGCCAAGAGTGTGATTGGTAATGTCTCTGGTTTTCTGACTTGGGCCAAGGGTGGGGTTCCTTGTCAAGTAACGAGAGTCTAGGGCCAGGCTCTGGAGAGGTGGCTTTTCTTCTCTGAGGGCTCCTCGGGTATCTTTCAGTCTTTTACTTTGCACTCTTAAGAAGGGACACAGAAGATGAGGGCGAGGGTTTGCTAGTTTGCTAACCAACACACTGAGGCAACATAGAATAAGCAGAAGCCACACCTAAATTCTAGTAGCGCCTGTGGCCAAGGGTCAGCCACTAAGCAGCTTCATTCACCTTTTGCTAGGAAGAGGCACCATTACCTGTGGTGAGCAAGCAGTGAGTGTGGTAGACATGTTTGTGCAGCATCCAGAGTCGCCTTTAGGGAGCTCCACAATGTGCTTCACATCCCGGACGGCTTTTCCTCCTTTCAGAAAAAGGTGTTGGTAATTTTCTGTTTGTAGGAACCCCAGAGTTTATGGCTCCAGAAATGTATGAAGAACACTATGATGAGTGTGTTGATGTCTACGCCTTTGGTATGTGTATGCTGGAGATGGCGACTTCCGAATATCCATACTCTGAGTGCCAGAATGCTGCTCAGATCTACCGCAAAGTAACCAGCGTAAGTCTGAGTTGCGACACGTTGGACATTCTTGGTGTCTGGTTTCGAGGGGTCCATGAAGGAAATGGGGCCAGGTGGGGCTCTGTGCAATGCTGTGATGTCGCCCTCAATACAGCATTTCTGGGTCTCTGTCTCTCTCTCAGCTTTCTGTGCAGATGGCTGGGAGGCTGCTTCAGCAGGTGATGGTACGAACCTAGGTTAGTGTTGTTTGGATGGAGCAGCTTGGCCCCATTGGAGCCCACACAGGTGATAAAGAGTTTCCCTTAGACTGAGGCAGGCTTGGGGCTCACCTCATTTCTCAGGCCCCCTTCATAGAGCTGAGGCTTACTATGCCTCATGGTCCCTGAAAGGATTGGAACTCCTTGAGTTTATCTGCCTGCCCACCATGTACCAGGTACTCTGGAAGCCCTTGGCAAAGCGGATGAAGCCATCTCGTTGCCCCTGAGACCATGGTGTGGTCTAGTTGGTCAAGTTTACTGTGGGCCAGCTCTCTTGTCAGGGGACAGCACCAATTCACTTACCTGGCTAGCAAAGAACCTTCTTTGCTAGGGAGCTTAGCGATGAAGCCGGCTGCTAGTTTGGCAGCTGTGGGAGAAAGCTGAGAATGCTGTTCTTTGAGGCCCCCCCAGCCCCCTACCCCCACCACGGCGGTGTGCTTGCCACATGGTACCTTTTGGCCTGTTCTGGCTCCAGTTCTGGGGGGTTGCCAAAGACCACCTCAGACAGTCGGTCTCCATTTTTTCTTAGGGGATCAAACCAGCTAGTTTCAACAAGGTGACTGATCCAGAAGTAAAGGAGATCATTGAAGGGTGTATCCGCCAGAACAAACGTGAAAGGTGAGTGTCTGCACAGCCTGTGTGCTCACCGCAAAGTGCCCTAGAGCTTGTTGAGTCAGTCAGTCACTCAAGCAACAGCAACAATAATTAAGCACCTACTGTGGGGGGGGGGGAGCAGCTAGGTGGGGCTGCTGCTGGGGACAGAGCACTGGGCTTGGCATCAGGAGGATTCACCTTCCTAACTTCACATCTGACCTCAGACACTTCCTAGCTATGTGACCTTGGGCAGATGACTTAACCTCTGCCTCAGTTTCCTCAACTGTAAAAGGGGGAATCATAATAGGATCTACCTCCCAGGGTTGTTGTGAGGATGTAATGCGATGATGTTTGCAAGGTGCTAAATGGTATATATAGATGGAAGTCAGTGTTTGAGGGAGTATAATAATATGAGGGTGTGAGGTGGCAGAGTGGATAGAGTTCCCTGCCTGGACTCAGGGTGACCTGAGTTCAAAACCGACCTCAGACATTTACTAGCTTTGTGACCCTGGGTAAGTCACTTCACCCTGGTTGCCTCAGTTTCCTCATCTGTAAAATGATCTGGAGAAGGAAATGGCAAACCACTTCAGTATCTCTGCCAAGGAAGCCCCAAATGGGGTGATGTAGCATTGGGCATGACTGAAAATGACTGAACAACAACAATAAATGTGTCAGGCATTGTGTTAAGCAACAAAGAGAGGCAAAAAATAGCCCCTGCCCTCAAGGAGCTTACAATTTCATGGGGAGACAACAAGCAAACAAATAAATACCAAGTAAGCTCTCTACTGGATGAATAGAAAATGATTACCAGAGGGAAGGCCCTGGAATGAAGAGGGGGCAGGGAAGGCTTTCTGGAAAAGTAGGAATTTGAGTTGGGACTTGAAGGAAGCTGGGGAGGTCAGCAGGCGGAGTGGAGGAGGGAGAGTGGGTCTAGGCCCGGAGAATGGTCAGAGGAAATGCCTGGAGCCGAGAGCTAGAGCCTCTTGTTGGTAAAATAACCAGGAGGCCACTGTCCCTGGATGGAAGAGTACATGAAACGGAGAGGAGTAGAATAAAGCTGGAAATGGAGGAGGGGGCTAGGTTATGGAAGGCTTTGAGTGCCAAACAGAGCACTTTGCATTTGTTCCTGGAAGCAGTAGGGAGCCACTGGAATTTATCCTGGAATGGGGAAGGGGGAAGTGACATGGGCAGACCTGAACTTTAGGAAGATCACTTTGGCCACTGATGGAGGGTGGACTGGAGCAGGGAGACTGAGGCAGGCAGAGCCCCTCCTCCCAGCAGCTACTGTCATGGTCCAGGTATGAAGTGATGAGGGCCTACATCAGGGTGAGGACCATGTCAGAGGAAAGAAGGGGGCATGTATGAGGGGTGCTGCCAAGGTAGAGTCACACAGGCCTTGGCACCAGGTTGGATATGGAGGATGAAGGAGAATGGAGTCCAAGATAAGACCCTGAAGGACCGGGAGGATAGTGGTTCACTCAGCAGTCAGAGAGAAGTTAGGAAGTATGGAGCCAGAGGAAGGAGAATGAGATCAGTTTTGGACATGTTGAGTTTAAGCCATCTGCTGGACATCCAGTAGGAGATGTCTGAGGGGCAGTTGGCAAGAAGCTGTAACAAGGAGCATTGAGTAGCTCATTTACCTTGAGCTCCTTCTGGGGCCTCAGTTTCTTCTTTTGTCAAATGGGGAAGTTACATGAGATGACCTCTGAGGTCCCTTCAAGCCGAAAACATATGATCCTTGTTCATCTTGGTGCAGACTAGTGACTATGGGGACTTGAAAGGCCATGGGGATCACTGCCTCAATGATAAAGAACAAGAAGGAAAAGAGGCTGAGGCTGCATCTGTATTTAAAACAAACCCCAGAGGAAAGATCTGGATTCCTGCTATCTTTTGTATTTCTCTAAAAAGAGATAGTTAAAGAGTAGATCATTTGGAATGGCCCAAGAGTCTACATCTGTCTGTTGGCCTAAAATCCCATCTCTAGGAGCCAGAAAGACCAGGGCTGTCTTGGTGGACCCACGTGCACCTTCATTGCCAAAAGGGACCAGGCTCGTGGGCTGGCTGCAGGAGCAAAGCTGAAAGATCGGAGTGGGGCTGCAATAAACGTTGGCTCTGCTCCCTTCCCCTCCCTCCCTCCTCTCATCTCCCTCTAACTCAGAAGCTTCCAACTAACAGGACTTTTTTCTGGATTCGGTTTCATGGAGACAGAAGTAATTAAGTAATTAAGGTCACCAAACCTGTCAATTAACTAGCAGGAGTGATGATGTTTAATTTTTTATTATGAATATTTTAAAAAGGGAACATGTCTGCATACAGTGTAGAACAAGGAAAAAATGGTTAAATCCAAAAGTGCGCATCTCTTATGTGAAACTGGCATCTTTTTTAAAAAGCGTGAAATGTATTCAACATGTTCCTTTCAGAGCTTTCTGCTAGGTGGCACCACTGTGGAGAGAGTGCTAGAGGAAGGAAACCCAGTTCAAATGCAGTCTCACACTGGGTCACCTTGGGCTTGTCGCTTCACTGCTGTCTGCCTCAGTTTCCTGAACTGTAAAATGGGGATAATAATAGCACCCGTCTCCCAAAGGTTGTGAGGGTTGAATGAGACAATGTTTGTAAAGTGCTTAGCACAGTGCTGGGCACACACTAGGTGTAGCTATAAATGATAGCTCCTCCTCCTCCCCTTCCACCACCACCACCACCACCATCATCATCGCCATCGTCATCACCAGTGTTTCCCTCTGAACTTCCTTCAGTTCTCTTTGGTGCATTTTCAGAAATGTTTCATTGACTTTTTTGGGGACAACCTTATTACAAGCTCCCCTTTCCTCCCAGTAAGAAAAACAAAACAACCCAATTCTTTTACATATAAAAGCAAATCTTCATCTTTGCCATATCCGCCAATGTCTGTCTCATTCCTCAACTTGAGTCTCCCCCATCACCACCGTCATCATCACTAACATTTATACATGTGCCTGCCATTGTGCTGAGGGCTTTACAAAGAGGACCTCATTTAATCCTCACAACAACCCTGGGTTGGAGGTGCTATTATTTTCATCCCTATGATACAGCTGAATAAACTGAGGCAGACAGAGGTTGAGTGACTGCCTGAGGTCACATAGCTAGTAAGTATCTGAGGTTAGATTTGAACTTCCCGATTTCTGTTTCAGCACCTCTCTCCACTGGGCCACCTGGCTAACAGCTCTGAAAGTCATATGTTGAATGTATTCTATATTTTTTGATATCATGGGTTCTCTGGAATGAGTCTTGGTTGGTAGTTGAGTTGATCTGAGTTTGAAAAGGCTTTCAAAAGGCCAAGAGGCAGCAGCCCCTAGGGCAGGGGTGGGGAACCTGTAGCCTTCTAGGTCCTTGGTTGCGGCCTTTTGACTGAGTCCAAGTTTTACAGAACAAATCCTTTTATGAAGGGGATTTGTTCTGTGAAGTTTGGATTCAGTCAAAGGGCCACACTTGAGGACCCAGAGGGCCACATTTGGCCTCGAGGCCACAGGTTCCCTACCCCTGCCCTAGGAGTTTCCACTCTGTTAAGGGAGTGTGGCCTGTATATGTCATGTTGGTCCACAAGGGAGCAAGGTGGAGCTGGTTGGAATTTTGGTGAGTGCACCAGATCAAATGAACTATTCTCAGCCCAGTTTCTCTTGCTTGCTCTGCCGCTGGCCCTGGCTTCCTTCCAACGAGGTGGCTAACTGAGCTCCTCGCGTGTTCTTGTTAGGTTATCCATCAAAGACCTCTTAAACCAGGCATTTTTTGCTGAAGACACAGGGCTGAGAGTGGAGTCAGCCGAGGAAGACGATGGTTTCAATTCTTCCTTGGCGCTAAGACTCTGGGTTGAAGACCCTAAGAAACTGAAGGGCAAGCACAAGGACAATGAAGCTCTGGAATTCAGTTTTAATTTAGAAACGGATATCCCTGAAGAAGTGGCCTATGAGATGGTAAGTCAGCTCCCTCCCCCAGGGCTCTTCTCAGCCATCTCTTTAGGTAGATGCCTCCAGGGGATGCTTGAGGCTCTCCTTGAGTTCTTGTTGGGGAGGGGGGTGTCCAAAGGGATCCACTTGGGCCAAGCAGCCGTTCCTCCTGCTCCATACCTTTTCCTGCCCTGCCTGGCATTGGAATATCTTTGATATCAACTCTCCCAAGTCTTCCCCACTGCCTCATCATGGTTCTTATGGGCTATACTAGGAGAATGGGAAGTTTCCAGTCCAGGCCCTGTGATGGACCATTGGTGTGGGCCAGGGGTGGGGAACCTGTGGCCTTGAGGCCACATGTGGCCTTCTAGGTCCTTGGGTGCGGCCCTTTGACTAAATCCAAACTTCATGGAACAAATCCCCTTAATGAAAGGATGTGTTCTGTAAAACTTGGACTCAGTCAAAAGGGTTAGGGTTAGAGTGGGAGTCAGAGTCGGAGGCATTTAGGGTCTAACCATACACCCAAGGGCCTAGAAGGTCACGTGTGGCCTCGAGGCCGCAGGTTCCCCACTCCTATGGGCCATCTGAGGACCAGCCAAGCTCAGAAGGTTGGCCATTGGTTTGGTGGCAATTGATAAACTAGCTTCCGGTGACAGAGGAAAGTCCACTTTGAGGGGGAGGGGGAAGGTATTTATCTTTTAATGTCACACCCTGAGGAAATCTAACCAAATTCTGTACTTCTCTTTCATTCTTAAACCCACTTTGTAAAAGCTCTGAGCTCTCAGTCTGGAAGGGACCTCCAGGGTCCTCTAGGCTAACCAGCTTGTTTCACTGATGAGGCCCCATCAAAGCTCCCAGCCTGCAAAGTTGTCAAGCCACCTGCAAATAGAGCTAGCTTTGGGTTTCTCTTGGATTCCCCTAATCCAGCCTAGAATTGGCCACAGTCATTTTTCCATGTGAAGAAAATTCTTGTCTGGGATATGACTTGACCTGGATAGGGATTGTGTTTTTAGGTAAAGTCTGGCTTCTTCCATGAGAGTGATTCCAAAGCAGTTGCCAAGTCCATTCGAGACCGGGTTGCTTTGATTAAGAAGACAAGGGAGAGGAAGCAGGCTGGCTTTGCGGGGGAAGAACGCCGAGATTCCCAGTGCAAGCCTCCACAGCAAAGCACTTCTCAGCTAGCTGGGACCGAGTGTGAAGAGACTGAGGTTGATCAGCACGTTCGACAGCAGCTCCTTCAAAAACAACAGACTCAGCCACATCACTGTCCTGCCTCAGTTCTTGGTATCTCTCAAGTGACCCTGCCCCTCTGTGTCCAAAGCTCATCTCCTGGGGGCAGGGAGGGTGGTGGTGGCTGGGCATAGGTGACTCACTTTGTTTTACAAGTTGTCATTAAGATCCAAGAAAGGGCCAATTCCTGGTGGTCTTGTGTTGGGCCCTTGATCCCCAATGTCAGAGGGGCCAGCCTTGAGAGCTGCTCAGGCACTTTGGATCCCCTGGAACCTTTTTCAAGAATTGCTTTATTTTATTGTGGGATCGGATCGCCTCATCCACAGGTGTTGGGCTGAGAGCTCTGGATTCACATAGTCATGAAGCATTAAGCACCAGCTATACACCCTAAATGTGCTAGGGATGCAAAAAGACGCAAAAGACAGGCCCTGTCTCGGTCAGGGAAGTCAGCTTCGGTTCTTGCCAGTTACACCTACAAGCCATGTGACTTTGGGCAAATCACTTACCCTGTATCTTGCCCCCCGCACTTGTTGAACTCTCCCTTGTAACAAAAAGAGATGGAGAAAAGGAGAAGACAAGCTCTCCATTTTCTTCCCTCTGCTTGGCTCTGTGCCTCAGCAGTGGTGGTAGCGGCAAGAGAGCTAAAGGCCCCAGCCCTCCATGGATTGGGGAAGGTCACAGGGCTGGATTAGGGTTAGAGCTCTAAATGCATACTAGTTCAACCCTCTGATTTGACAGTGGAGGAAACAAGCATCAAGAGAGGAAGGGATGTAGCCCAATTCACACTGGTTATAAGTGGCAGAGGCTGCCCTTTGGTTCCACCATGCTTCTCCAGTGTTTAGAGAAAACCAGAAAACTGTGTCTGTGGGTGAAGAGGGCAAAGTGTTCGAGTGGGTGAGCAGCACCAGCCAAGGGGCTGCTTTCTTCCTCTTGGACTTCCCTAGCCTCCTTTGGGTACATGTGGGCTTTCTTGACTCCATGGTGAGCATGGGCATTGCCTGGCATCCAGAGCTGAAGTGGCCTTTGGAGGACTTAGAATGGAGTGGGAGTGGGGGTGGTCATCTGATTTTGACAACTTACCCATAGTCAATCTTGTCAATTCATAGATCCCCAGGCGAGCCCAGTGAGAGGAAATTTTACTAAATATATGTGGGTATGTCCACTCCAAGGGTGCCAGTCTTGGCTTCCTGTCACACCACTGGGAAAGATACGTCTGCAGAGTCAGGCTCCAGTTTGGTACTCGTGTTGCCCACATGGGCCTTTAAGGGGGAAGAAACTGCCAGATTTGGCCTAACCCTAACTCACCCTGAAGGGCTCTTATAGGATCATTTTTAGAGGGTTTATAGGTCTTTATGACTTCAGTAGAAATTTTCTCTCTTCCTATGTGCTGGAAGACATTGCTGTTTTCTTACAGATGCCAGTTTTTTTTTCCCTCACAGAGTTTCTTTCTCCTTTTCCCCTTCCCCTTCTCCTTCTCCTCCTTCTCCTCCTCCTCCTCCTCCCCTACTCTCCTCTTTCCTTCTGCCTCCCTCCCCAACCCCCCCCCCCCAGTTTAGTGAACTTTGGGAGGCATTTAAAAGGTCAGAGGTCGGGGCAGCTAGGTGGCTCAGTGCATAGAGCATCGGCCCTGGATTCAGGAGGACCTGAGTTCAAATCTGGCTTCAGACACATAACACTTACTAGCTGTGTGACCCTGGGCAAGTCACTTAACCCTGTTGCCTAGCCAAAAAAAAAAAAGGTAAAAGGTCAGAGGTCGGACAAGTCATTTCTCCTCTCTGGGCCCTATTTTTCAGAGGAGGAGAACGAAGCTGAGAGGCAAGTGAAATGCCATAGCCATGTTGATAGAGCTAGGTATCCCTGATTGGACTCAGACCTAAGTTTCTCCTCATTCCAAGTCAAGTGCCTCAGTCTCCTATTTTATCAATTGAGAGAATTAGAAGAGGCAGCCTCTGAGACCCCTTCCAGTTCCAGCTGTATGTGACATCAAGGAGGAGAGGTAATGCTACCAGTTGAGATGGGTGAGCCCCAGCTCCTCACCTGGTCACCCATTTCCAGGAAGGGAAGTATCTGGGTTAGGATTGGTCTCCTCATTTTACACATGGGGAAACTGAGACTCAGAATGAAAGTGACTTGTCCAAGGTCATGGAAGCACTTAACTCCCAGGGCAGGGGCCTGCCACAATGCCAAGGGGATCTCATGGCTTGTTTCAGATGAATCCTGTAGTGGACTTGGCTTACGTCTGTGTGTCTGAGTGATCACCAGCTGCCATCTTTATCTTCATGACACCTCACAGTTGGCATGTTTCTTTGCTGCAGCTGATGGTCTACCTGAGGCAGGAGTTGGGGCAGTCAAGCATTCCGATTCTTCGAGTCAACACACCATGGCCTGCTGCCCAGATGTGACAGTGGTTCCTGCCAAAGCGTCTTATGTTCCCCAGACCAAAGCCCAACTTCCAGGGCACCTGTACCCGCCCCAGCAGCTGGTGGGACATTACCAGCAAATGCCAGGGGTGAGACTTATTCAGATGCTTGAACCTGTTTGAACTCTAGTCTCAGCACTGACTCTGAATAGGAAGGTTGTTTTCAACATTGTTTTTAACTGTTTCTTTTGGAATCAGGTCCAACAACACACAAACCTTGCCCAGCCCCAGATGTTTCCACCAGTAGCTGTCCAGCAGTTCTCCCAGAGAATGGTAAGATTCCCTGGGCTGAGCAGCCCCCACTTTTGCACACACCGCCCCCCTGGTGGGCAGCAGAACCCTTGGGGCTGGCAGGGACTGCCAGGGACTGACATGCACCGTTGGTGTTGAAGGCTCATTCTTGGGGTTGACTTTTCGAGCCCAGTTTGTCAGCGACTAATGCAGAAGACTTAGGACAGCCATCCCCAGGAGCAGCTCACACCCCAGCCATGCGTTTCCCCCCTTGGCTCCCTCATTGTCCCTGTTCCCCTCCACCCATGATGCCCAGGCCTTTGGAAGCAGTCACCAAGTGCACAGAATTTTGTAGGTGCCCAGCTTATCCTGTTGTGGAGCTCCGGGAGTCCTTTGAGTGGCTCATTATTACCCTTCTCCTTTCCCATGCAGTATTGTTGAGTTGGATCAGCACTCCTCTCTCCTCTTCCCCCACTAGTGTTGCGTCTCCTTGTCACTGGGAGCGGCATCTTCCAGTGATTAAGTCATCCCTCTGTATTGAGTTCAGCTGAGGATTCGATGCTTGCACAGACATGGCACATTGTGAATCGGGTGGGGGTGGGGGTGGGTTTTGGACAGTTGAAGGGAGCTCTTTAAGCTTTGGGGCTTGAAGGTGGGTTTCAGAGAGACTCCGGCTTGCATTGGATGTTGCCAAGTCAAGAGTGGCTTCTCCACTTTGCCCAAGTACCGTGAGTGTTGGCCTCATCTTCTTAGAGGGAAGAGACCCAAATCAAGGCATGCACTGGACACATGTAGCTCCTGGAGAGAAACTTGTCAAGGGAGTGGCAGGGGCTACTGAAATCCCAGTGAGTTTTCTGGTGGCCTTTCACTTCCCAGATCCACTTTTTGGGCACCTCCATCTCAACTGGCAAGAAGCTGCAGAGGGAGGGAAAGACAATGTCCTATTGGACCCGTTGCATCCCCTCTTGGGTTTTTGGTCTGTGAAAGCTGTCACTTTACCTTGCTGGGCAGGTGGGGGGCATACCCCACTTTTAGGGTGGGAAAGGAGCTCAGATCCCAAGAACCAGCTGCCACTTTTTGGCTTAAATTTCCCTGAAATTCCTTAGGGAGATTTTGAGCCTGAAGCTGTAGAAAACCAAAGCAATAAATTCTGATCTTTGGTGTTCCAGAGTGAGGGAATTTGAACTTCAAGGAAAACTGGGCTTAGTGATGATTTGCTTTTTAAAGTCCTCGGTGGCCAAGTCGGCCAGAAATACTGGACTGGGCATAATCTGTGCATGTTCCTTACCCACCTTTTCCTTGTACCAGGAACCCCAGCAGACCTTTGGAGCAGATGGACAGGCCTCAAATCCACTGACGTTGCCCTCTTCCCAGCACCCCGCAGCGGGCATCCTGCTTGATCACAGCCCTCGGAATGGAAGTCAGATGGTGGGCCTGACACTGGACACTGAGCAGTCTTCGAGCTTCTTGCCAAATCCACCCCCTGCTCAATATCTGACTAGCACCCAGGGTGTTCTCAGGGCAGCCCAGCAGCTCCCAGCCTCTCTGGCTGGCCATCCGGGGGCACAACTTGCTGCCTCCCAGCTGCCTTTAGTGTCCCAAGCACACTCGGTGGTCCAGCAGGATTCTGGCCCTCTTTGTGCAGGGCCAAAGCCTCACTGCTACCCGGTGCCTTGCCCACCCCGCCCAGTGGCTTTGTTGATGAAGGCTGCGCAGCCAACCCAAGATGCTGGGCTCCAGGAGCCTGATGCTCAGAGGGTCGTGCAGCAGCCAGAAGGCGATGGGAGAGGAGGCCTGATTTCACTTGGTGAACAGCAGCACATCTTTGTAGTGAAGCCGTCTGAGCAGCTGCCTTTCCCCAGCTATCCTGTGCAGCCTTCTTGTTTGGTTCCAGCTCCAGAGCAGTCCCCTTACCCTGTGCCACCCAAGGCACCATATGGTACGCCACCCACTTACACTATCCCCCTACCTGCAGTGCGGTCCCTCCATTCAGCTTCACTTCCTGGACAGCCTGCAGCATATCACACCCAGCCTTCTTACCTGGAGAAGCCAGCATATGTCATGCAAGGGACTTACACTGGGCGGCCTGGAGATCAGCCTCCTTACCCTGTCCTAGCCCCTGAGCGTTCTTCACACGCAGGGCAAGCAACTTCCTCCCTCCAGGCCGTGGACCAGGTGACGTACTTGGGCCACCAGGCGCACTCAGCCAGCTCTAACCCTGAGCAGCAAGCTCCAGATGAACAGCAGTCATATGGCATGCTGGCCTCAGAGCCCCAGGCATGTCTAGGCCAGCCACCAGACGACCCTTTGGCTGTTCTGAAGGTGGATGTCAGTTTGGGGAATGAGCAGCTCAGAGGTCCACCTCCTTCACTGGCCACTGGCGCTCCGAGGGCCAGGGAGGGCCAATCACATCCCTTCCCGAAGTGGCCTCTTCCCCTGGCCTCACTGCAGCAGAGTGGCCTAAGTCCTTTCTCAAAATCCACATTCGCTCCAAATCAGCAGGTAGTTCACCCTTCTTATCTACCAGCAGTGCCGCCCCATGAGCTCCTGACTCCTGAAGTTTCTCAGAGTCAGCAGCAACTCTCCTATGGCCAAGCTGGCTCCTTCCAGCAGCAGGCCCCCAGCCAGACCCAGCAAGCACCAGCTCTAGTTCCCCACTTGCCCACTGAGTGCAGTCAGATTCTGCTTTGCGAGAAGCACCAGCCACAGTGGCAGCCACCATTGAGCCCAGCGCCTGTCTCTGGGCCATCAGAATTGCAGCAGCAGCAGCAGCAGCAGCAGGCTCTTTACCAGACTTCAGGGGCAGCACGTCCCAAACAGCCACCCCTGCCTAGTCCAGCACAGGCCTCACTTCCTGCCCGGGGCATTCCTGTCTTGCAGGCCCAGCCACAGCATCAGGCTTTAAAAGGCCAAAATGTTCCAAAGGTAAATCTGGGGGAAGATTGAGGGGGTTGGGGTGGGAGTATTCTCTACACGTTGAGAAGAGGATTGGCTTCTGGACAAGGTTCTCCTCAGCCCTCGGTTTCCTCATATGTGAAAGGTCCAGACTGGCCTTGGGTCTGGCCTCTGGCCTTCCGTCTTTTGGCCGACACTGTCATCTGCTCATGATGAGAAAGTCTTGCCACTCCTCAGTAACTTTCATGCCTTTGGGAGCCTGGCAAGGGGGACTAGGGCAGGACCCACACTTGCCCTCTTTAGTCTCCCCCCCCCCCCCCCCCCCCCGCCCTTGTTGCCACTTTAGCCAAATATCTTCCTTGGCTTTACTCATGGGACAGAATGTGCTGAGCCCTTCTAGTTCCATGAGGGTTTGAGAGGCTAGTGAGTGGGGGCCTTTGTATCAGAGGTAGGGTTTGTTATGTGAGTTCTTTGATACTGAGTGTAATTTTTCAGCCCTGCTTTGGATATTGGGGCATGTTCTAGAAAATACCGTTTGAAAATGAAGAGGACTTTCTGCATTTGGTGGGGCCAGGACTGAGGAAGACTTGGGAGGTTGGGGTTTGGCCCTCTCCTTCAGGGAGAGCACTAGAGACTGGTTCTCATTTTTCTCTCTTGCTGCTTTCCCAGTTCTGGTCTTACTGGCAATGTCCGTTGTGTTCGGAATCTCGGCTCTAGCTCTGGCCTGGTGAACATTAAGAGAAAAAGCTTGAAGGGGGGCTGACCTGAGGCTATGGTAACTCCAGTTGGGGTCATGGCAGCTCCAATGGGTGCCCTGGACTGTTCAGAGGTTTGGTCCTTGTGTCTTCTGTCTCATGAGGGAAAGCTGAAGTTTCTAGGTGGAGGCATTTGGGTCACTCTCATCCATAGTGTCTTAAATGGGGCTTCGTGTCTGGGTTAAAAGAATACGTTGTGTTTTCATGGGGAAATCCAGGGGCTGGTCTCACCACCCCACCCCACCCCTGCCCCCTGCCACTGTGACAGGAAGCGATTAGACATTGGATTAGACATGCCAGATGTGGAAAGCCACTAGGGTTGTTCTGCATTCAATGCTCTGGTCACTGTTTCTCTGAACGTGAGGACTTTGTGATGGACCAGTATCCATAGCTTCTTATTGGATTGCAGAGATGGCTCGTTATTATTGGCAAAGGAGAGAAACATCTGTAATCTAGTCCAGGCTCTAGTGGTAGGGAGTCCAGGGTCAGCCTGTTGGGTTCCACAGGCCAGATCTTAGCAATTAGATGTTTCTCTCCTTTGGCCTGAACAAGATTTAGATGTCATTGGGAGATGTTTAACCAAATCAGTGCAAAGACAGTACAACGTAGGTAATGTTCATTTGGTGGCCTGGATACCACTGGGCTAGACACATGAGCTCTGAGGTCCGTTCCATCTCGAACACTTCCAAAGGCTCATAGCTGGATGTGGAACCTATTGGCAAAGCCTTCTGCTGCTTTCCCAGCCAGTCCCCAGGCCCTGAGGAGGTTACAGTATTAGGGGAGCATGAGCCAGTGGTAAGCTGGGTAGCTCTAGTTCATCACAGATGAGCAGCCTGGGGTTCCTGGCTCCTTGCTTGGTTTTGTGGGCAGCTTCTCTTTCTCATTTCCACTTTGATGCTCGTTCTAAGACATGTGTGGACCTTACTTGGGTGAGCACTTTCTGGAATGGCTGACAGATCTAGTCACATTTGAAATGCCTGGGGCAGGGGGAGTGGGGCATGAATATTTCAAGAATGAGGTTGAAGAGGGCAGCTAGGTGGCACAGTGGATAGAGCACCAGCCCTGAAGTCAGGAGGACCTGAGTTCAAATCTGGCCTCAGACCAAACACTTGACACTAACCAGCTGTGTGACCCTGGGCAAGTCACTTAACCCTAATTGCCTTTAAAAAAAAAAAAAGAATGAGGTTGAAGCTGCCCCAGCAGCCACCTGTCCCCGCAGACTGGCAGAGCCCAGTAGGGCTCACAGCACACATCTTTTAATCTTGGAAGGGAGTTCATCAAGTGGGGTTTTTCTGAGTCCCGGAGAGGACAAGAGATTTGCCAAGGCTCATATAGCTAATAAATGTCAGAGGCAGGATTGGAACCTTGATCCATCTACCTGACGACAAGCCCAGACCACTGAGCCATCTAGTTCCCTCAGTCTCCATGGGACTTCTAGCAGGGAAGGTAAAGCTCAAGTGAGGCACCTGGTGGATCTTTGAACTAGCCTCCGCACCTGGGAAATCTCCCAGCCACAGGTGCAGAGGTTGACTCTAGATTGGAAGCCAAGGTGATTTCTGAGTTAGCGTGTGCTGTGGGCTTGGGAGCACTCCCAGAGAGGAACCTCCCCCCACTTTGTTCCTAGTTACTTAGTGTGTGGATAATGAGTTGGTCCCTGAAAAGTTCATGTTCACCCTTTTGCCGCCTCCCCTCGCCCAGCCAAGTGGGGTTTGAAGGGATGGGCTCCAGCCAGCAAGGAAGCAGTGTGAATGGGCAGACTTGGGGCTGATGGGTAATCAGGACTGATGTCTACAGTGGCTGGCATCTTCCAGTTTTCCTGCCTGGGTGGCAGAATTGGCACTTGGAGGCTGACCCCAGGAAGGCCAATTTATTTCCTTTCTAAATGAAAGAAGAGATTGGTTATTATGTGCCTTCTGTGGTTTTTCTGGGTTGGTTTAGAGGCTTTTTACTTGGTCCCTAAGCCAGAGTTTCAGCTCACATTGTGCTTTGGGCCAGGGGACAGATAGTCCCTTATGTCCTGAGGTCAAGTCTTTTCCTCAGAACCCGAGTACAACCAAGGGATCGAGCTGATGGTGCCATCGGCTTTATTGAAGAAAGGTAGTTTCTATGTAAAGATCAAACCCAACCCAACAACAGCTAACAATAATAGCTAACTTAGAAGATGGCTAAAGATGGGAGAACAGAAGGATTGACTCACTTGTTTAGATTGGATTAATGAGCAAATCCGGACTGGACAGCCACTGACAAGGTCATAGTTCAGACCAGAAGGTGAGAAAGTGTGAGGGATGGGGGGGCTCTTTGGGCCTCAGGGGCAAAGGACTGACATTGAGTCTCTCTCCAAGGTGATGGGCGACCATTTTTCTTCCTGCCTTTGTTCAGAAGAGGCAGTCCCAGTCTTCCCTTGTTCCTTGTGAGGATCTGTGTGGAGGGAGGCATGTGGTTCCCAGAGCTCCCTGAGGCCCTGTGGCTTTGCCGCGCCCCTTCCTCTCAGAGCTCCACAGGGAAAAATGGTCCTTCTGGCAAGTCACATAAATGACTGATTACTTTGCTTTCTGATTTCTAAGTGGGACAGAGAAAGGAAGAAGATGACTGTGTTCCTGAAGACCGACCAAGGGTTTGAATCAGGCTGGTCTTACTTCCCACTTTGGCCTTCAGTCCTGATGCCATAGGCGTGTCTTTCAATCTGGAAGGGCCTAGTCTAGGCTGTCATTTGACAAAGGAGGAAAGTGAGGCTCAGAGGTCCAGGGTCACACAGTGATCAGGAAATAGGGGAGCTGGGATTCAAAGCCAGCTCTTTGAGCCTTAGACTCCAGGGCCTCCAGTATGGACTTAGCTCTATCACATGCAGAGCTCTCTGGTCTGTCCTCCCAGGTAGTAGTTTTTCAGCTCGGTCCCTGAATGTCTAGTTGCCGGAATCCACAGGAAGGAGCCCCCTCCCCCTTCCCATGCTTCCCCAGACAGACCACCTTTCCCAGGAGAGTTGGGTTTCTAATGACCTGTCTGTTCCACAGTATCGATGTGCCTATGTGGAGAAGGGAGACATTTTGTCACAGATAAGCAATAGGTATATTTTTGGAGTTGAAAGAAAGTTGTTAAAGGAAGAATTGCATTGCCTCCTCCTTCACAAACCTTGGCCCAGAGAAAGCTTTTGGGAACTGTCCAGCAGGTGCCCAAGGTCTGGCCAGCCAGCCTGGGGTTTTAGAGACCAGTAGAGGGACTTGGGTAGTGGCTACAAAGATGGGTCCTTCTTCCTATGGACTCGGGCCATGTGCCCCCACTGGCAGCTTTTCCCAGGTTGTTGGGGCTGAGGGTGATCAGCCCAGAAGTCATTTCACTGGGGAGGAGTCTGGGCTCTTCTGATCCCAAGGCTACATGGCCTCATTCTTGGTTAAGGTTTCAACTCTTCGGCATGAAGGCGTCAGAATAACCGTGTGGATTTGTCTAGCGCTTTGTGGTTCCCAAATGCTTTTCTTCCCCCAAAAGATTGATGGGTTAGGAAACTGGGATTGAGAGCGGTGAAGGGAGCAGCTCGGCTCCCAGAGCAGGGGCTGTTGGAGTCAGGGCTTGCTGCATTGGGACAGCCTCTCACTGCCCAGGGTCGGGGAGATCCAGGGGCTGCACAGAGCTGCCCAGACGTCCACATTCATTTCCTTTCTTTTCGCTCTCATACTCCACGACCAGATCTGGACACTTTCCAGACGGAGAACAAGGAGAAACTCTGGCCATTGATGGGCTAGTTTCCTTTCCATTGGCCGTGTGGTACACAGATTGCCTGGCAAGCATTTGATCAAGTTCAGCAGTGCCCAGCAGTATTGCTCTTCTAGGCTCAGAAATTGTCATGAAGCAGGGTCGGGGTGGTGGGGAGAGACTGGGGGAATACTTTGAAATTTAGCCATTTTTCTGACAAGTTTTGTTCCAACAGAGCTCACAGCCTGGAACCCAGCCACCAGTAGGAGACCTACAAACAGCCCTTCCGAAGGCAGATTTAGTCCGAGGGTGAGTGTGAACCAGTGAGTTCCCTGAGAGCAAAAGAGGGGTGTGTGCCATGGACCATTGAAAAGCGGGTGATCTGGTATTACCTTCACTGTCTCTCTTAAGTGGCCCCAGTAAGAACCATGTGTTTCTAGGCGTCCTGCCCCAGCTAGCTTGGCCCAGTCTGGAATCGTTGCTGACCCTCTGAGCTCACTGTCTCTGTTTTTGTCAGAAGAGCATGTTGTAAAGTAAGGAGCTTGTTCTAAAAAAGCATTGGAAGCAATTGCGAGAGCTCCCTCGGACCTAGCATTCCTAACCAGTTGAAGTATAGAGCAGGCTTTCAGCTGGGTGTCCTGTCTTCATGAGGCCTTGCAGACTGATGGGGGCTGCTTGACCAAGCTCGTTGGTCTAGCCCCACCTGGACTGGTGGACTTGGGCACACTTAGTATTTTCTTTGTTTTTCATGTTCCTTGATGACCTCAGTTAATAACCATTTATGACTTAATGACAAATTAAGTACAATTCTTTTTTCCTCGGTTTTGTTTTGTTTTTTGTTGCTCTGTTTTCTTTCTTTTTAAAAAATTCCATCTTCTTTCCCTTTCCCAATTATCTCTTTTGCCCCCTCCCCCCCGACCCATTGCAAAATGTGTAGGGTTGAGACAAGTGTCCCCATTAGCCATGTCCCCAAAAAAGGAAGAAAGAGAAAGAGGGACAACGATGTACTTCAACCTGCACTGAGCCCATCAACTCTGTCTGGAGTTGGGGCGCAGGTTCTGTCATGACTTAGGGAAACTTTTTAACTGACCTGCAGGAGATGATGTCTACATCCATTAGCTGTTCACTTGGAACGTGTTTTGTGGGAATCCCCAGTATCCCTAGGAAGCCCAGACAAACCCAGCAAAGGATCACGTTCCTCCTCCCTGTCCCTTCTCAGCAGCCAAACGACTGGTTTCTTCTGACGTCCACCTTTGCCCTCTCTTGCTCGGGGGGCTCTGACTTTCTTCTTCAGGGTCTTCTGGGCAACCTAGTCACGTCTGCTCCAGGGACACAACCTTTTCCTTGGTGGAAAAGTGCATAGCCTCCTTATTCCATGGAGCTTATATAATGTACTGAGGATTTCCAAGTCACTCACTTATGTCTTCCCCAGTCCATCTCGGCTCCTCTAGTGTTGGGAGCACCGGGGGAGGTATCAACTTTGACATTCTAGGAGCTGTGATTTCCCTTCCCCTCTCCAGCCCAGCCTCCCATCAGCTACCCAAGTTATCTTCCTAAAGGGCCTGCTCTGACCCTGTCACCACCTTGCTTAGTGAGCTCTGGGACTTCCTCCCCTCTGAGCCATCACTCCCCTTCCCACACTCTCCCTCCAGCCCAGTTGGCCTTTCCTGTCTACCTCACACATGCTATTCCATCTCATGCATTAGTCCTGGCATCTTCCCCCTCTGTACCCCTGCCTGCCTGCCCCCAAGTCACTGGCTCCTTTTCACTTCTAGTCCAACTACCACCTTGTCCCCGAAGCCTTTCCTGATTTTTCCCGTCAGATGACCTTTTCTGTCGGTGTGTGTGTCTGTCTGTCTCTGGATGCTGTTTACTCAAGCAGAAAGCCAGTGCCTTGAGAGCAGGCCTCGCTTCACAAAGTCTGCCTTTCTATCTCCAGCAGCCCGGCAGTACCTGGCACGGAGTAGACTTCCTTGAAAGTAACTGTCCACCCACTTTCAGTTCCCTAGTTCCCCCCTTAGCCACTGAGGAAGCAAGTTCCTTTCCATATAGTCATTCCACGTGTTATCTTCCAGTTCAGGCCACACAGCTCCCCCTGGTCAGCTTCCTAGCACGGGCAGGTTCCCTGAGCTCATCTTGCTTGGATTCTCTGGCTTTGTACTTTCTCATTTCTCTCCATGACTTTTTCTTTTTCTCATGCCTGCTCCCAGCTCACATTCCTAGGTTTCCCACCCCAGCTGGCCCAAATTGAACAACATGGTCAGCCCCTACATTGACCAGACAGACAGGCACATGACGAATCTTAGGGCTTTCCATTTCGGGCCGGCTTCTCAAAGCATCTCCTAAGGCCCTTCTGCTGCCGAGTGCCTGCTCTCTTTCATGGCCCCAGATATTATTTTCCTTTTCAAGGTCACTCACCCCTACCTCACTGCGTTGCCCCCGGGAAGTCCCTCACAAGACAAGGTTGGCTACCCTTAGACCGACTTGCTTACTTTGAGTGCCTTCCTAAAGCTTTGTCCTTGCCATGATTGATGAAGGGGGGAATATGGCTCTTCCCCCTCAGATCTGCTACAGGAAGGTAGGCACAACGTTCCAAGTGGGGCAGCTGCTTCCTTTGTTAATTACTGCTGGTTTGAGCTTGGCCTTTGTTGGAGACTCTTGTCTGCTCTCAGAGATTTGATGGCAGTTCTGTTTTGTGCTTCTTAGCCCTGGTGCTGATGGAGCAGCGTTGAAGGATGGGACCAGTGGGTCTGAGAACCTTGCTGGCAACGGGAAACAGGATCGGATGAAGCAAAGGAGGGCGTCGTGTCCTCGGCCGGAGAAGGGGCCCAGATTTCAACTGACTGTCCTCCAGGTACGACTGCATCAAAGTGCTTGTTTCACTTTGAAGTCAGAGAGGGTAACTTGTGGGGGATGGAATGTTGAAGCTTTTCAGCAGCTAGCTCCAGCTCTCTTTCGGAAGCCAGAAGCTCTTGTCCTTGTCATATTCCTCAGATTTTCCTGTGAAAAGATTAGAGTTAGGAGAGAAAAGGGTAGAAAGCATCCAGTTTAATTTCTGTTATTATGATGATGCTTTTAGTGAACAGCTCCCAGTGGCCACAGAGAAGATCCAGAGCTTGAAGGCCAGAAAGGACATTGTGACTATTGCAGAGACTTGAGCAGGGCATTTCCTGCTTGGCTGGGGCCCCCTCTGGGCTGCCTTTTGCTCTCTGCTGTCTAATCCCAAATGCTTTGACAGTCTTTTATTTCTTTCCATCTGTATCTTTATCACTTGCCTACCTTCTCCTAATTTGTCCCTTCCAATAACATAGCCTTTCCTTGTGACCCATAAGTACAGTCCAGTAAAATGGGGTCACACACTGGCACCCCCAGCCCAGGAAGCAGCCGCCCCACTTCATCCTCAGGCCGCTCACTGTCTCGATCAGAGTTCTTCAGCCTTTGCTGCTCCCCTCCAGGCAGTTACAGACTGGGTCCTTTGCTTCCTCTCTGAGGCTCAGTAGCCTTGTCTAGAAAACGACTTGTAACATCTCCCTCCTGCAGGACTGTTGAATCTTTGTCAAAAGCCAGCTCTTATAGATTTCTGTCAATTCTCTGTAGATTTTGTATGTCAGATTTGAACATCAGAAATATTTAGCAGGACTGGGTAAAAAAATAGAAAAAGAGATAAGTAGACTAGATTAGCTGAGCTCAGTCTAGAAGCCAGGGTACCCATGCCAGCCATGTTAAGGGCACCCTACCCATCGTGGGCCTGCATGACAGTAGGAAGCCAGTATCCTGGAATAATTCTCTTTGAAGCCTCGATGTAGTGTTTCCTACTTTCCAGTGAAGTTGGGTATGAACTTGGCCCCTTTCTCCCCTATTGAGTCAATCATGAATTTCTGCAATCCAAAGGGATCTAGAATAGGGCTGCATTGAAGCTTTAAAGTGTTGGGGTGATGGTCAGTGATCTTGGGGCGGGCAGGGGGGGAACACACGACTCTTCTGCAGGCTTGAATCTGGACCTCAGGACCTTGAACTGAGTACTGAGTCATAATTCATTCTGTTTGGTTTGCAAAGAAGGGAAGATGCCTGTGCAATCTAGTTATGCTATCTTCTTACTTAGGTTTCAATGTTCGGTGACAACATGGTGGAGTGTCAGCTGGAGACTCATAATAACAAGATGGTCACTTTCAAATTTGACGTGGATGGAGATGCTCCCGAGGACATCGCCAACTACATGGTAGCGTCTCCTTTTGAGTTACTGTTGCTTGCTTGTGCTTGGGGGTTTGGGGGGTCACAAAGAAGTGGGAGCCTCTGTACTTGGAACTAGTGTAAATGAACTGTGTTTTTCGAAAAACTCTTGGCTATTTTGTCGCTATCTTTTGGTTTTTTACATCACCAGAATTCTTCCCTTTATCTCCCCCCCATCCCTGCCAATCCTTATAATGACATTTTTTAAAGAAAGATCAGGACAATAAGGAGAGGGAAGAAAAAAAAAGAAACGAAAATAATCAACACAGCAAAAAAGCCTGGAAAATATCTGGCCTGTTTCGTACCCGTGACCTCTCAGCTCTTCAGGGTGGGTGTGGGTGTGGGTGAGGGTTCTGTCTTCTCCTCTCGTTTTCGGGGGCTGAGCTTGCTCCTTGAAGTTTTGCAATGTTCCCTTTGTTTTGGGTCGTTTTGTGGCTGTTCTTGCCCTGCTTCTTGGCATCTGCCACACTCGTTTCTGTCGGCACAGAATCGATGGCCAACTACTTTGTTTCCAATTCTTAGCTGCCATAAGGGGGGAGGAAGAGGGAAGGAAACAAGTACTCATTTAAGTGCCTGTGACGTGCCAGGCACAGTGCTGAGCACTTTTACAATTACTGTCTCACTTGATCCTCACAACAACCCTGGGATGGAGGTGCTATTATGATCCCCATTTTACAGTTGAGGAAACTGAGGCAGGCAGAGGTGAAGTGACTTGCTCAGGGTCACCCAGAAAGTGTCTGAGGTGGAATTTAGACCCAGTTCTTCCTGATGCCTGCTCCAGTGCTCTATCCACTGTACCAACTAGCTATTTCAAAAAGGGCTGCTATAAATATTTCGGTGCATATGCGGACTTTCTTCTTTATCAGTGACCTTCCTGGTACATAAGCCTTGTAGTGGAATCTCTGGATCACAGGGTACGAACGTTTTAGTCACTTGATTTGCATAGTTCCAGATTGGCTTTTCAGAACAGTTGTACTGATTCACAGCTCTACTAACAGTATACCAGTGCGCTTGTCTTCACACAACCCCTCCAACATTGATTATTTCCATCTTTTGTCATCTTTATACAGCACAGATTCCAAGCAGACATCAGAGAATAATGTTTTTAGTCAGTTTGTGTGTAACTTATATTTCCGAGGTGGCTGAGCTTTTAACTTACCTTTCATTCCTCTGCAGTACCTAGAACCCATAATGCATTGAGGAAGTAGGTCTTTGTTGATCTTAATTGGAACGTGGAAGTGCACTGCGTTCTCCCAGCATAGCTTTACAAAGCCCTCGTTGGCCCCGTTCAATTCCTTATTACTTGACTGTCAGAAAAGGAGGGGAGCTTGTGTGGTGTTCCTCTTGTTGGTTTCGGGGGAGAGAGAAGATCTGACTTTCTTTGATTTTTCCTCATGCTCCCTGCTAACCAGAACAGTGATGTCTCCAATTTGTCTGCCCCTCATGGAACTGGGTGCACTTTACAAAAGTCTTCTTCTTGCCTTCCCGAGAAAGATTTTCTTCTCAATCTGGCTCTACTCTCTTCCCATACTGATTAATACATTAGTCTCCCTCACACAATCTACATTGCAGCAAAAGTTGCTTCCTGGTGTTACTTTCCTTCCATGCCTTTCATCACCTGCATCCATGCCTTTGCCTAGGCTTTCTTTCCCCTCCTTGGAAGGCTCTTCCTCTTCTCTTCTGCCTTTTGGAACCCCAGCCTCCCTTCAGGCTTCAGCTTGGGTGCCCCTTCCTATAGGAGACCTTCCTTCCATGGCTTCCTCCAGTGCCTCTGGCTGTGTTTCGTATGTGCTTTCTTGTGAGCCTGATGTAAGCCCCTGAAGGTCGAGATGTCTCTACGTGTGGCTTGTTCTTGGCCAAGTCCAGTGCTCTGTCCTTTGTGGGACCTGACATAAGGCGAGAATGCCATTCTTGAATGGGGACTTAATTTCTTGGCAGGTTGAAGATAACTTTGTGCTAGAGTGTGAGAAGGGGAAGTTTGTGGAAGAATTGCAGGCAGTTGTGTGCCATGCCCAGGAGGCCCTTCGCACCCTCCCTGGTGGGGAGTCGGCTTCATCAGAATCCAGCAGCTGTCAAGTAAGAGCTATTTAGGAAATTGTGTGTATGTGTGAGTTGTATATATGAATGCCTGAGTGTGTGGGGGTTATTGTTTATGGGTGTGACTGTGGCTTTGTGGTTGTGTATGTGTGTGAGTGTGTGTATATTGAGTGTGTAGGTGTTGTGTGTGTATGTGAATGGGTGTGTTGAATGTAGATGTGGGTATGTGAGCTGTCTATGTGAGTGTTCCTATATAGGTACGTGAGTGAACGTGTATTAAGTATGAGTGTGGGTGTGTGAGTTTTGTGTGTGAGTGGTTGTGTTGAGTGTGTATTAATTGTATGACTGTAAATGTGGTTTGAGCGTGTGTGTTAGTTGTGTGAATTTGAGTATGTGTTGAGTGTGGGTGTTTGAGTTGTGTATGTGAGTATGTTGTGGGTGTGGGTGTTGTGTGAATGTGTGTATTGAGGGTGGGGGTGTGCAGTGTGGATGAGTGTGGATGTGCGGATGTGGGGATGTAAGTGTGTGGCTGTTGTGTGGTTGTGCTGTGTAGAAAAGGTCTCACTCTGTTTCTTTGTCATTCAGACAGGATCATCCGAACAAGCACAGATGAATTCTGCGCTCGCTCAAGGCTGCAGTGAGTACCTGGAGTCTGTTCACCATTTGGCATGATTTTGCCCCAATTCCCAGAAAAGGTGTTTGTAGGGAAGGGAAGGTGACTGTTAGTAAAACTCCCCCACCGTTTCCAAAGGACCCTTCTAGGGCCCACTAGGAAAAAACGAGGCCATGCGTCCCCTACTAGTGTTCACTCTGATCGCATGCACACTTTGGGATCAGAAGAGAGGTTGTCTAAGACTCATTTTTCAAATCGCCTTTCCTTTCCTTGCTTAGGCTCCTTCCAACAACAGTGGTATTTGGCCCCATTCTTGCCGATTGAAAGATGATGCAGAAACTGGAGAATCATTCATTTGGGGGGATCTCAAACCTGGCTCCCTTGGCTCTCTTCCTTGGTTTCTTGCCTTGTGCTGGACATTTTGTGGGAAGCGTGATCTGAGGCTCTGCTTTTGTGTGGTAGGGCATCTCCATTTTGTGGGCAAGCAGCCTTGGGGTGTGTTGGTTGTTGTGACTAAGCTGGAGTGCGCAGAGAGGTTTTAAAGGAGGAACTCAGAAGGGCCTGGCCTGCGTCCCATCGTTGCCAGTGGTGACTTTTGTTCTTCTAGCACGTTGCAAGCTGACGAGAGGTGGCTTTGTGTTTGGCACATCGGACTCCTTGCTAGTCAATTGAATGCGCCCGACTGCTCCGAAAAATCAGTGTTTTGGAGCCAGTTGCCTTAGCCCACAAGGTCAGAAAGCTTCCCCGGGAATTTAATGTGTTTGTGTCATTTTTTCTGCAGCTGACTCTGCTCCTCAGTCCTCCCCAGTTGGTCGCTGGAGGTTCTGTATCAATCAGACCACGCGCAATCGCGAGCCCCTGAGCCTTCCTGAGTCACAGCTCCTTGCTGGTAAGCTTTCCTTCTGTAGCTGGCTTTCTCCACCAGACTGTTTCAGGTTCTCCTGGCCCCAGAATCCTCTTGTTAGGACTCGGTGCTAGGCCCTGGTGTTGAGAAGGGGCAGAGAAACAAAACCAAGCACTGGGAGCAGCCGAGGTTGCGGCTCATGATCCTTCAGGTTTAGCTGCCAGGTGAAATTTGCTTGGAATAACCGTGGGTTTGCCTTGGATTTATACCCCACTTTTCTTCTCTTGCAATGACTCTTCAAAGATTTAAAAGACAAAAAGCTTCACAAGGTTAGAGTGCTGGATCCTTCTCTTCGTCACTTTCTCATCAGCTTCTCCTGTCCTCATTTCAAGTTTAGACGATCTCAGCATAATCTCTTGCAAACATAAAACTCTTGACCATGAAGTTGCTTCTGTGACTTCCCTTCTTGGAGCAGCCTCAGTTTTCTGCTCCATAAAGCTGAGAATGTAGAAGAATGGCAGTCTGTTGATCTGAAGCTTGGCAGGCGGGGGGAAGGGCAATTGAATTCAGCAGTGTGATCGACAAAGAACGTTTCACAATTAGGAGCACAAAGGCAGAGCTCCCAGGCTCTCCGCCTTCTTTCTTTGCCGTGGCTGGAAGCGCTTCATCCTCTGGTGGCCAAGGTTTTTGAAATGAGCTTCTCTGAACTGACATGGGCTGGACACTGGACACCATCTAATCCAACAAACTCTTATTAAACACCTTCTGTATACAGGCTATTGTTCTAGACGCTGTGGAAACAAAGAAAAAGTGAAACACAGGCTCTTTCTTCCAGGAGCTCCCAGGCTAATGCAGAGCCAAGATACAAAGAGGAAAAGGCACTGGGGTGGAGGTGGGGGTGGGTCTGGGGGGTTGGCACTACACTAGAGAGGCCTTTTTGCAGTAGGTGGGTCTTGAGGGAGACCAGTAGGTGCAGTTGGAGAATGAGGCCAGTCCAAGCATGGGGGAGAGCCCTCGAAAATGCCTGGAGCTGAAAGAGGTAGGGTCTTGTTCATGGAATAGCCATGAGAACCGTGTAACTGGATTGAAGAGTTACACTGGTGGGAAGCGAGGTGTAAGAAGACTGGAGAGGGAGGAGGGGGCGGGTGGTGAGGGGCTTTGAACGCCAAACAGGCCATAGGGAGCCACAGAAGGTTATTGAGCAGAGTGGTGATGTGGTCCGACGTGCTTTGGGAAGATGACTTTGGAGGCTGACTGGAGGATGGCTGGAGTGGAGAGAGATTGAGGCAAACGGAGCCCCCAGCTGTCAGGAGTTCTGGTCAAGATGACTGCTTGAATGGAGGTGGACTGCTTTAGAGAGTTAGAGTTGGGGTCAGAGGCATTTAGGGTTACAGCAAATCCCTGAAATTCACCCATGACCAAATACAGATCAAAAACTCCTATGAGAAACCGCAGTAAATAGTTGGGCAGGTAGATGGGGAAGTGGCTAGAGCTTTGGACTTGGAGTCAAGAGTCTTCCTATAGAGGCTAACTGTGTGAACCAGGGCAAGTCATTTCACTTCTCTTAGCCTCAGTTTCGCCATCTGTAAAATGGGAATAATATTAGTGCCTCCCTTACAAGGTTGTTGTGTAAATCAAATGGGATAACAAAGTAAAGTGCTTAAGGTGCCATATAATATACACTGGTTAGCTAGCTGGGTAATGACTCCTCCTACCCCAGAGCGGCTCAAGAGGCCAGCCAGAAGGAACTCAAACTAGAGAGATGAGGAGATCAAAGAAGACACTGAGCATGGCAGATCAAGAGACCCCTAAGGGAAAGAATAACTCCCCACCAACTGCAAGCAGACACAAAGGGAAAGAAGGGGGTTTTCCACAAGGACTCCATGAATACCTAAGAGAAATGAAGCGAGTGAGAAAAAGGGAAATGAAACAAACAAACAAAAAGCTCTGGAGGAAAGAACTGGAAGGAGAATAAACAGTTTAGAGGAGATTGTGGTCAACCTACGCCAAAGAACAAGGTCCCTGCAAACCAGAACGCATTTTAGGGTTCAAAGAGAAATCAGCAACTCCACGAGATGACAAGTAGTTAGTTGTTGGAACAAAGGCAAAAGTTGAAAAAAGAGAAGAACATGTGAGGTCTCTGCCACCAAAAACTGACCTCCAAGACAGGGCAAGGAGAGAGAATTTGAGAATGTTTTACATTCCCTGAAAACCACTATTAAAAAACCAACAGTCTGGAGGCTGTATTTCAAAATAAAATAAATAAATAAAAACCTCCCAGGTCTCTTTAAGCCAGGGGGCAAAATGAAGGCAGAAGGAACCCACTGATTACCTCCTGAACTCAGTTCCGACAGGGAAAGGCCCAGGAACGTCACAGTCATTAGCCAGAGCTTCCACGCCAAAGAAAAAATCCTGCAAGTTCCCCCAGAACCAGGGAAATACAGTCAGGATCACACCAGCCCTGGCAAGCTGGGCTATAAACCAACATTGTATGCCAAGAAGGGACCCTGGCACACCACATCCCAAAGGCAAAAGGTACAACGTACGACAGCTTACAGCAAAGAAGAATTTATCCTGCAAAGCTGAGTTATCTTCCTAGAGGGGGAAAGATGGAGCTTGAAAGGAAGAGAGGAATTTCAAGCATTTCTGATGAAAAGACCAGAGCTGAGGAGGAGGAAACTCTGAAATGCAAATGCAGAGTCCAGAGAAACTTAGAAAGGAAAATTTCTCTGAGTAATTCTCTGAGTATGATGAGGTTGGGCCAACACTCTACCAGGGGAGAAGAAACCAGAGTCCCTTTGGCCCTTGGATATCTTCAAAGGGTACTGAGGGAGTGGAATGAGAAAAATGGAGGCCCTGAGGAGGCACGGGGAGGGGAGGAGGACAAAGACCCTCACTTGGAGGGAGGAAGAAGAACGGCATGGAGGGACTTGCTATCTCTCCTGATTGGAGTGCATGGAAATAAGAGTACAGTACAGACACATGTAGGAGGAGCCACAGTGGGGGGACTGGGCACCAGAGGAAGCTCACTCTTCTCTGAGACAGACCACGGAGGGTTGGACCAAGGAGGTGGACAGTCGGGTGCAGAAATATGCCCAACTCAGTGAGCGGAGACATACTCGAAGACTGGGGAGCAGGGGGTTAGGAAGATGAAAACAAGCCCTCAACCCTGAAGCAGCAGTAAAAAGGACCAAGGAAAAAGCCAAGTCCTAGGAACCAAACTGCGGCGTGGGAATGTCATGGGAGGGTATTGTGCTGTAAGAAAAGACAACAGAGCTGATTTCAGAGTATCCTGGGAACACATGTAGGGACTGGGCAGAGTGAAGTGAGCAGAACCAGGAGAACCCTTTCTACAAGACTGACCGCATGCTAAAGCCCAAATACTCTGAAAGACTAATAAATTCTGACCAATGCAATGTCTCCAGAGGACTTATGATGAATTGGGTCACCCGTCTCTTGCCAGAGAAATGATGGGCTCAGGGTGCAGAAAGATACTTATTACATTTGTGTGTGGATTCAGCTTGCTTGGTTCTACTTATTTGTAATAAGGAGTTTTTTTCCCTTGTGGTCTTTTTCATTGGGAGGGGGTGGGATGCAGGTGTGGGGAGGGTTTGCACTAGTGATTCCTTCCAAAAAAAGAGGGCCTAACAGAGCATTTTACAAAAGGAACAGAAAAGAAGGAAACAGGGAGCACAGACAGGCTGGACACTTTTGAAAGTAATGTGCAGAGGGGCAGCTAGGTGGTGCGGTGGATAGAGCACCGGGCCTGGAGTCAGGAGGACTTGAGTTTAAATCTGACCTCAGACCAGACACTTGACACTTACTAGCTGTGTGACCCTGGACAAGTCACTTAATCCCAATTGCTTCACTGAAGGGGAGAAAAAAAAAGTAACATGCAGGATTTATTATTTACTTTTTTTAAAGTTTGGTACGAAATGGAGATTCATTGTGTCATATAGAACCCTAATTCTTTTATGTTCTGCTGTGTGTATAGAAATGCTCTTTTTTTGGTGTTTAAGTTCAAAATGAAAAAAAAAAATGACCTCAAAGGCTAAGTGGTTAATGATTATTAGGAATGATTGCTTCCATTCATTTGGTAAAGGTTTTGTTCTCTCCATAATTGAGGTGGATGGTTCCCTTTTTTTCTTGTTTTCTGATACGAGTACCAACAAGTTTATAGATTATCAATCCAAACTTTGGATCATCGTTGTAGGATTAGGGTTAGAGAGTTCATTTAAAAAAAAAAACTTAATAGTATTTATTTTGTTTCCAATTTCGTGTAAAGGTAGTTTTCAACATTATTTTTGTAAGATTTTGAGTTCCAAATTTTTCTTCCTCCCTCCCTCCTTCCCAAGACAGTAAGCAATGTGGTATAGGCTATACATGTTCGATCATGTGAACATGTTCCCACATTAGTCATGTTGTGAAAGAGTGCTCAGTTTTTTTATTGCTGTTTTGCTTTCCAATTTTCTCTACCTTTTTTTTGAATGAGAATTCTTTGTTCCAGTGTAATATAATGTTGAGTTTATCAAGCAGTGACCTTCTCGATTGGTTCTCTTTCCCAATCTCTTCGATCGTTTTTTCCCTATTTTTTTATTCAAACCTTTGAAATTCTCAGTCTGGACAGATTAATTCACAACATCTCTTTTTTTGCATATCCTGCCTGCCCCTTGCAGCTGTTTCCACGGGGCTGGTTGGCACCTTAGGGACCAGAGTCCCAAGCTGTGGCCACATTGCCTTTTTTCTTGTTGTTGAGGCATACTTCCAGGGCCATGTCGGAAGCTCCCAAAATTTCTTCTTTGGGGTCTCAGGCCTGAAAAACTGCTCCGTTTCTCTATATAAGCATATCAAGAAATTACTGAGCCCCAACTTCCTGGTAATTTAAAAGAATAAAACCACTTTCATTAAAGTGCCTGGTGCTAAGCACCCCCACGTTCTTGGCCTTCTTTGTACAATTAGCAGTGAAGACATTTAGTTGGGATTGGAAGACAGCAATAGTGGATGATGGGGGAATTTCCTTCATTTATGGGATCTCTTTTGACTACTCTGAAATTGTTGTTAAAACCTTGTGCCAAGGAAGATGGGAGAGGTTGTCTCCATTAGGGTCTAAGTTGTAACCTTTGAGGTCAAATGGGGGATTTTTTTTTTAATTTTGAAAATCCCCCCAGATCATTCCCCCTGTGATGGAGAGGGTCTGTACCAGGCGTGGCACAGCTTTAACTCGTTACTTAACTCCTTATTTCACCTTTTCTTCTTCTTCTTCTAGATTTAGGGAACACTAGCAACAAAGAACTCTCGCAGGATACGCTTCTCACTGTGGCAACCAGCCCACCCCAGGGTGAGCTTTTGGCATCCACGCCAGAACCCAAGGATTTAGCAGATGGTAAGACTTCTGAGCATGCTGGTCCTGAAACTGAACAGCTAGCCCATCCTCATCAGGCAGAAGAGAGCAAGATGCCAATGGTCCATTCTGCAGGGAGTTCACAGGGCCCCGCTGTTTCAGTACATCCTGCTCAGATTGAGCTTGGGGAGTCTATCAGCCGAGTCCCTGGCACACGTCTGCCTGCGTATCCAGGACGCCAAGCTGAGGACCACCTGGCTTTAGGTGTTTCCCACCCTGGAGAGTCAACTGCATTCACCGAGAGCTCAGTTCCACTACAGGTGTGTGTGTCTGAGCCAAGCCCTCAGTCCTCCTCAGTGCAGTGGCCACCTGGGTGTGGCACCTTGGCCTCTCAAGAGGGGGCAGCCTCCATGTGCATGGAGGCCACTTCTGCCCCTCAGTTGGTCACACTTGCTCAGAGCCCAGGCCTTGATCCAGCCCCTCTTCATCCCTCCTCCGTGCCTGAGGGAGATGGTGAAAGACCTCCAAAATTAGAATTTGTAGACAACCGCATTAAAACCTTGGATGAAAAATTAAGAAACTTGCTGTATCAAGAGCACAGCACATCTGGTCTCTGCCCCGAGAGTCAGAAGGACGCCACAAACCTAGAGTCTCCATTTTCTTCTTCCTCCTCGGCCGAGGAGATGCTCTGTGGCCCTGGGCCCGAAGTTCTGTGTGCGGGGTATCGCCGGAGACAGGGCAGCCTCGCACAATGGGCCAGTGCACAGCAGGCCAAGTCTGAGCTTCTGTCTCTCCCTGCTGTGGCTCAGCCTGCTCATGTAGCCGTGCTCAAAAGGGAGCCAGTCAGTGTGACCACCTCGGTATCCAGTGAGTTGGGTTTGCATGTAAGTATCTCTTCTTCTTCCCTCAGAGGGCAAAGTGGCCTGGGCCAAAGGTGTGGGAGCTGAGACTTGGCCAGTGTAGGTTCTCCCCCGACTAATGCAGCTTATAGCCCCTCTGATGGAAAAATCTCCCACCCTGCAGCCAACCTGAATTCAGTTCAGCTGGCTGGGGGAGAACAGCCAGTGCGTCAGGTCCCAGGTCTGCCAGGGCATGGCCTTTGATACTTCTTGATCGCTTCCAGGCCACAGTCAGGTGGCTGAGGTTGGGGCTTGGTGGAGGAAGCCCTCTAGTGAACTGAGTGAGTGAGTAGACCCTGGGCTAGGGACAGGGGGAGATGGGCACTTTTTTCTCGGGGGAGCAGACATGCCACCATACTGTTTGGAGTTGAAAGGGGCCTCAGAAACTCAGAAGCCATCTGGTCTATCCCTAAGAATAGAGCTTCCCAAGATCCCACAGGTAGGAAGGAGTATGAAGCAGAGACCAGAAACCATCTCCAGGGCTGGTTCGCAGGCCACAGTACTCAACCGCTCAGGACAGCCCCTAAGCATGCCTGACTAACACAGTGGTCTGGCTTTGCTAGGGTCGACGGGCAGGAAAATCCCAAACCTATTCTCCACTTCCTCTTAGGAGAGTTTCCCTCCAGCCAAAAAAGCTTTGTGCCTCTTGGGATCTCATGGGGCTGCTGAGTTTCCCCAATCCCAAGCCATCTTCCTCTTCCACTCCTTGTCGCACGCCTCCTTTTTGAGTGTGTTCTTTGGGAGGAGATTCCACAGTAGCCTGGAGTAAACTCAAAGGGACCTCGCACTGTCTTGCACTCCCTGTCAGCCTCAAAGGGTGTGTTACTGCACCGAGGCCCATCCCCAGCAGCCAGCTCTCCTTAGAATAATGTGTTGAATTGGTTTTCTGGGAACCCTAGAGGAAGACACATGTTCTGCTTCCAGTGTTAGGCCTTCACCTGATGCCTGCCTGGATTGAGGCCCTAGTTTAACCAGTTCCTGAAGCTTTCTGGGTAGGAGAGCCTGAGCTGGCCTTTGGACTTTTCCTTCCGTTGGCCCTTTTTCAGGATCCAAAGAGGTAGTTGTTGCATTTCTAGTAATCTCTCGGATGATGGCCCTCTCTAGCTCTTCCCAGATTATGTGGCCCCTTGAGGAATCCCAGTCACAAGGCTTTGGGAGTACAAAGAAGCAAAGAAGGAAGGAAGGGATGGATTTATATGGCACCTACTAGGTTCCAGGCCTTGTGCTAAGCCCTTTGCCAATATGAGCGTGCATTTGATCCTCCCAGGAACCCTGGGAGGGAAGGGGTAATATCCCCATTTTATAGATGAGGAAACTGAGGCAGACAGAGGTGAAGTGACCTGCCCAGGGTCACTTAACTGGTCAGTGTCTGAGGTCAGATTTGGAACTCTGGTCTTCCTGACTGCAGGTCCAGCTCTCCCTCCGACATGGCGCCCCTAGCTGCTTGCCTAGAGAAGAAGAGTTTCAGTCTGAGCTGAGGGGGAAAGTAGAGTTCTCATTTCCTCCAGCGAGGTGGGCTGAGGTGCCCTAGAGGCCATTCATTCTATTTGTGGTCAGGAACAAACCAAGCGCATGAAATCTGTTTGGCCCCTCCCAGTTCTCTAGAAGAACCCTTGGAGCTGTTGGCAAGATCAGTTTGGCAGTTATCGCCATGTGTTTTTCTTGCTCTTTTCTCCTTCAGGAGACGTCCCCCGATGCTTCCCTTCCAGGGGACCCTGAAGCCTACCCTGCTTCCGTGTTGAGTGGTGGCAGCGACAGCGGCTGTGGTGGTGGCAGCATCTTCCATCTGCACACAGGAGGTGGATATTTTGGCCTAAGCTTTACTTGTCCTAGTCTCAGAAATCCTATTAGCAAGAAATCCTAGACTCGCAAATTAAAAAGCTGGGCATACAGGCTCCAGCAGTCAACCAGCTTTGGCAAGAAATCCAAAGCCTGTCAAGGTAGTGTTCTTACAGTCAGGGCCATAGACTAGGTAACATTATTTCACTTCCTTTGGGGATTTTGCTTTTCATGAACAAGTGTCCTCACTTTTCCCACCAAGCCCATGTTTGCGACACGTCTCATAAATGCTGCTGTCGCCATGCTTTGCTTTCTGTAACCAGTCTGTTCCCATTTTTCATTTCACGTAGAAGCTCAGATTGAGAAAGTGTCTTGTGGCACCTGATTCCGAGCTTGGGAACCAGCGGGCTGTTCTGCAGTCTTGCATTGACACAGTGTAAACTATGTAGGCCAAGTGAAGCTTCTTTCTTCTGCTTTCCTGGGGGTCTGATGAACACATGAAATCTTGACGAATGCTGTTCTTGTTTGTGTGTTTATTGTTGGACCACACTTGCAGTGGAGATGGAGATGGAGATGAGGTCCAAAGTTGCTTCAGCCCCACTGCCTCAGGCAGGAGAATCTGCGTTTCTCAATAGGTGCATAGCAACTGGCTCATTTCAGCGGGGCAGGTTCCAGGTTGGTGTCTCAGCTTACTCCTTTGTTCAGAAATTTTTTTGGGGGGGATGTAGAATCCGGACTTGTGATTTCCTTTTCCCTATGCTGTACGGGGTGCTAGGTAGCATAGTCTCTCCTGATTCGCTTGTCTCTGATGCATTCGTGATCCAGTATTAGGTATTCACTTTCTCTGTGTTGGGGCCGGCCCTTCTTGTAGGTGTCCCTGCCAGGACCTAGTGAATGCTGTCGGCCCTCTCCGTCCCTGGGGTCAGCAGGTGGGGTTCTTTAACGGCCTTTGGCTCCCCTCAGGCCAGCTAGCTGTGTGTGCAGATTTTCCCTGAGGATGTTCTCTCTGTCACTCGACTCTCTTTGTGCCTCAGGTTGTCACTGTACCTCATCAGCAGGTGAATAAAGTTGCTTTTTGTGACAGAGACTGTGTGCCCACAACCAAACAGGTCCTGACCAGTCCTAGCAAAGATGCTGGAAAGGAGACTTGGCTTCCTTCGGCCACCCCCAGTTCTCGTCCTGAACCTCACAAAGGTGACCAAGGCTTGAAAGAAGGGGAAAACCTTTTGTCTGTCAGCACAGTATGTGACACTGATCTAGCCTCTGCTACTGAGAGTAGTGCACAGTCTGGGCCTGAGCCCCCCGGGGGAGCTGTTTGCACCCAGCTGAGCTCAGAGAGTGAGTCTTCTGCTCCTCTCGGCCCCTCAGAAGAGTTGGTGGGAAGTCCCAGTGAAGAGAACGGCTGTTGCTTACTAGTCCAAGAAGAATTGCCCTATGCTCAGACCCAGAGTGCACTTTTCTATTCTCCATCCTCCCCGATGAGTAGTGACGATGAATCCGAAATCGAAGATGAGGACTTGAAAGTGGAGCTTCAGAAATTACGGGAAAAGTAAGTACTACTTTTGTCATCTCAGCCACCTGGCTTGCTGAGCTCAGAATTCAGGTTGAGATAGGCCCGGAATTCGGGATTGAGAAGCCAAAAGGGGGTGGAATTGCCATGAACCCTAAGAAAGCCCTGACAGGAACACTGCAGCGCTTGCTTGAGGGTTAGCTTTAGAAGCTTCAATTTTGATGGCAAGTTTTCTTCTTCTCCTTTAATCAACAAGCATTTGTTAAGAACTTCCTTAAGCGGCCAGATTCCGGTGATTCAAAGATAACAATAAATAGTGGCTGCCCTCATTTGCTTTTTTTTTTTAATTACACTTAGTCATTTCCAAGAAGATTCAAATTATTACCTTATTATTAAGTGTTTTTTATTATTATGTAATTATTACGTGTTTTGCCGATTTTTGGATTTGCTTTTTAAGTGCAGTGCACAAAACATAGAATACTCTTTGTTTGATTAAGTTTTGAGATGTGGAATACTTAACTGTTACCCAAAAAAACCCAATCTTTTTCAGAGTATCTGAATTCAATAGTTATATATCTTTTTAGATATTTAGATACCTTTAAATGCAGTCACAAGCTAAACAGAAAATGAATCCCATGCTTCTGAAACACTTAATTTCCCAAGTGTTCATGGAACATCTGTGTCACTGCAGACTTTGGTAGGTTTCTCTGTTTTCTCTAATGCTGAAGACTAGGACGCCACTCTTTCTCTACTGTCTAGATGACAGATGACTGGACTGGATCACAAAGTTTTCGAATGCCTGGTTTGCATTTGCTCGTAACTCTGCTAAGAAATCCCTGTTTTCTTTGGGAGTTTCCATGAGTTAGAAGGCCCCTCAGCCCTGTAATCGAATCTGAGCCCCTCTGACTAAGAATCTCCCAAGGGGTCAGCCTGTGAGAGAAGAAGGGGCCACATGGGGCCATGGAGCTAGGCCTGAGGAAGTCGAGACTCCTACAAGCGCTGTCGCTGGCCTGAGGGTGGGATCCAGCTGTTCCAGTGTTGCATAGTTAGCTTTTCTTTAAAAATGTGGTTAGTTTTTACTTGATAGAAAGCCTCTCTCCTCTTCCACATCACAGCCCTTCACCTACTCCACAGCCAGCACATCTTCCCTAAGCCTTCTCTTCTGAATTGGCAAGTCACTTAACCTTTTCCATACCTCAGTTTCCTCATCTTCCAGTGCTCTCTAAGGCTCCTTCCAGCTCTGGATCTAAGGTCTGTGAACTCAAAGGCTCTGGGCATCTTCTCTAGCCCAACCATACTTGCTCCTCTGGTGACCTTCCTCTGGATGCTCTCAAGCTGATTAATGTCCTTCCAGAACTGAATGCAATAGTTCCCAGGTAGCAGAAAGTCTGAAGAGGGCAGAGGACACCTCCATCGGCCAGGCCTCTGTTAACACAGCCCACATTTATGTGAGCGTTCTTGGTGACCACATCACACTACTGCCTCACATTGGGTCTGCAAGACCACTCAGACTTTTTCATATGAGCTTCGAGTAGTATTTGGCTATCAAGGTGACACTGCCTAAAATCCTTAGAACTAGAATTTCAAAACGTCCTGCAGTTTTGTTTTAATAAAGGGATAAAACTGGCATTCCAGTGTGTGTATGTGCACATATGAGGAAGGAAGGGATGTTTTTCTACAGTCTTTTCCCTTCTAGACTTTCCCAAAAAATTAGAAAAAATCTTCATGGAAATTCATAGGAGTTGATCGAACTCTGTATTAAACAGCCTGTATTAAACACACCACTCTTCTATTATCATACCTCTAGAATGAATGAGCATTTCTTAGGCACTTGCTGAGCATTGGGATCCAAAGAGCCTTGGATACTTTTGGGTTTTGTTTTGTTTTTTTAACTCAACGGATGTCTGCCTTCTCTTACTCCCAGCCATTCTCCTGCATTAGCCATTTCCCCCCAAATAGGCATCAGTCTGCCCTCAGAGTCCATCACTTCTCTGGCCGGAAGTGGATCGATCGTGCGTATCACTACGAGGCCCCAGGAAACGGGGTTGGCCACCGTGTTGAGCAGGGTGGTTCGTTGTCATCATATACTTGTCCATCCCCCTGGTTCTGCTCATTTATTTCTCTCTGCGTCAGGTCTCTCTGAAGCCATCGCTCAGCTCTCACAGCCCAGTAGTCTGCTGTCACATTCATTTGTATGCTGTAACTTGTTGAGCCATTGCCCAGGTGATGGCTGAGTTTGCCTTCTCATAGGGAGAGCCTGTGAAGAGGTGTCAGGAAGACAACTGAAAAGGTCCCCATGGTGAGACAGGTGGTAACACATTTCCATAAACAAAACCATTTCTACTGTACCTACCAGGGTTCTTCGGTAGCCTGGGGGCTGCTGCTGTTGGCAGGGCTTTTGGGTGACCCTGCCCTTCAGTGGGGGTAGGGATGACTAGCCCTTTCTCCCCAGGACTTTTTCCTCTGGATGATGGCTGTTCGAGCCAGAGCTGGTGATCTTGGGGGCACACCCTGCTTCTCCCCCAACTCTTAGGTTTGGGGACTTGGACTGTCTCCATCAGGGTCTGAGGGGAGCTGGTGGCCTCTATCTATATCCCTCCGTCTTGTCAGCCCCTTCACTCTGAACCCTCTCCCCCCACCCTCAATACACACACACACACACACACACACACACGTACGTGTAGGTCAGAAGGCAGACTTGCGCTCCATCTTTCAAGCTCCAAGACATTTGTATGGGTCTTTCTCATGGCAGACCAGGGGCCCATGACGTTTGTATACCCTCTTCTGTTCAGCCCTTCTTTGGTGTTGGCTAGCTACTTTCTCCTAGTCTTTTGCCATTATAAACAATGCTGCTAGGTATGTTTTTGGACAGTTTTTGTCTCCCTTGGGGTGTAATCCCAGTAGTGGGAATACCACATCCACACATTTATGTAGTTCTTGGTTGTGTGATTTGGTGAATTTGAGAATTGGAAGGTACCCCCGTGGCGGGCCATAAAAATTGTCCCCATTATAACATACTTGACAAATCCATGCTTGTCATCCAAGTTCTGTTTGAAGACTTCCGGGGAAGAAGGGTCTACCCCCTCCCCAGGTAGCTAATTCTGCTTTTGGACAGTTCTCCTCATTGGCAGCTGAAATTGGCCTCTTGGCAGCTTTCACTCCCACCCTCACCCCCACCCGCACTCCGTTGCTCCTGGCTCTGTCCTCTGTCCCATCCTTCCCCCATGTGGCGTACCACTTGAACACTGCTTCTGGGGCCCACTGAGTCTTCTCTTCTCCAGGCTGTCCTCAGATGGCACAAACATTCTTTTTTTTTTTGTTGTTTTTTTGCAAGGCAGTCAGGGTTAAATGACTTGCCCAAGGTCACACAGCTAGTGAGTGTTATATGTCTGAGGCTGAATTTGAACTCAGGTTCTCCTGACTCCAAGGCTGGAGCTCTCTCCCCTGTGCCACTTCGCTGCCCCGGCACAAACATTCTTCACCCTCCTGGCTGCTCTCTGATTTCATGATGACCTTGTTAAACAGTGGGACCCAGAACCGAATGCCTCCTTGCTCCTGGGAGCTATGCCTGCCTTAATGTTGTCCCAGACTGCAGTAACATTTTTGGCTACCACATCACACTGCTGCCCACTCAGACCCCCCAGATCCTTTTCAACCTACTCTCCCATCTTGTGCTTCTCAAGTTTTGGATTCAGTCCTTAACCCCCCCCCCCCCACACCTGCCACCTAATTGTACGCTGTTGTCTGTCCCACGGTTTAAAAGGCTTTTATGACAGAAAAGCCAGAATGATAATAGACCAAATTATCCCCCCAACCCCCCAAATCGCATCAGAAAAGACCTTTGACAAAACCGACTCTAAAGACCCTAGGAGCACCTGGGAGGGGAGTATCCTTGTTACTGGGCCTGGGATTTCCCTGGACAGTGTGATCTCAGAACGCTGCCTGGGGCTTTTCCAGGGATGCACAGCCAACAACCATCAGACAGGGGACTTGAGCTCAGCAGCCATCCGTCTTCTCTCGTGAAAAGGAGCCTGAGTCCTTTCTCTCTTTGCAGATGGATCTGGGGAAGCCTCTAAAGTGGCCGGCACCCCACCATTTTTGTTTGTGCCTGGTCTTGGTTTTGAACAAGGCTCCCAAACTGTCTGCCGGCCATGTGCTTCTCTGCATCTGTCTGCCTTCGCTCTGACGTTAGATTTTTTTTCCTTGGGCTCTTCAGACACATTCAGGAGGTCGTGAGCCTTCAAGCCCAGCAAAATCGGGAACTCCAGGAGCTCTACAGTCGCCTCCGGTCCCTTAAAGACAGCAAATCAGAATCCTCCGAGCTGCCTCTGCAGCCTGCATCCCCTCGTCGCCCGAGGTCGTTCAAAAGTAAACTCCGAAGCCGCCCTCAGTCCTTGACCCACGTGGACAATGGTATTGCTGTTGCTACAGGTAACCTAAACAAAAAAAGGGTTACCTGAAGAGCCTCCCCAAGGCCCACGTGAAAAATTGGCCACCAGTAACAAGGCCACCTTTCTCTCGTAAATAGGGCCTTGGGGCCAAGGAGTAGCCTTGATCAGTTTTTAAAGACAGGCCAAGGCCAAGAGTTTCTCTGAGTTTTCCTTGGGGATGTAATCTATGTGTGTAGTAGGTGGGGGGCGGGAACCACTGTGCTTACACAAGTGCCCAGGTGTGGACAGAGGCAGATTGGCTAGACCCTAAGAGTTTGTTTCAAGGTGGTCTCAGGTCTGTGTCCAAGGAGCAGCTAACTTTATTAAGTTTCTCTGTTATCCGGAATAGTTTTGAGGTGGCTTCTGGCAGCTTCATGTTGCTTCCCTCTTCCCCATTGGGCCTCATGTGCCCTCCCCCAGTCAATGAAACACAAATACCTTTGCTTAAACTTTTTGAGGCTAACCCCGGCATTTTTTTTTTAAAGCAATTGGGGTTAAGTGATTTGCCCAGGGTCACACAGCTAGTGTCAAATGTTTGGTCTGAGGTCAGATTTGAACTCAGGTCCTCCTGACTTCAGGGCTGGTACTCTATCCACTGCACCACCTCGCTGCCCCTCCAGCATTCTTTGAGAATGATACATGTTTCCTAGAGCTTTTTTTTTCTGAACAGAAATGATTATTGGGTGTGCTAAAGTAGGATGACAGCTCTTTGAGTCAGGTTTGGCCATGGATCCCAAGCACCTGACAGCTCTTTTCTAATCTTAGCCCTCTTTTATGTTGGGAGTCCAAGCTCTGAGGGCACGCCCATGAATGGAGGCCCCATCCAGGGACATAGAGTAAGCATCCCTTGTGTGTCCTTTGCTGCTGCCTTCATGGAGCTCAGACTCTCATAGGGGATGGCTATTTGACATGAGGTAAATGGTGGCTAATAAGTATTTGTTGAATTGAATTTGAGCCTCCCCACGACCCTCTAAAGTCAATGGGAATTGGCCTAGTTGGGAGCTGAGAGTCCTGAAGTCAGGGATGCAATGGGACAGTGACTACAATTCTCACTCAGATTTCTGGTCCTGAAGTCAAGGGCACTTTCCATAATACTTGCTTCTTGTAAATGATAAAAGAACTTTTTAAATTTTTCTTGATAGCTTTGGGTTTTATATCATCTTCATTTCTGAATAAATCCCTCCTATCTCCACTACCTAGAAAGCCTTGCCTTTGAATAGAAAAGAGGCAGAATTAACTAATCACTGCTTCAGTGTACCCAAAGCCCCCTGCCCTAGTGTCCCCAACCTTAGCATTTTTCTGTCTGTTCAGGGACAGTTTAATTACACAGCATTTAGTTTCTTTTTTTTTTTTTTTTTTTTTTAAATTTTTTAGGCAGTTGAGGTTAAGTGACTTGCCCAGGGTCACACAGCTAGTACGTATCAAGTGTTTGGTCTGAGGCTGGATTTGAACTCGGGTCCTCCTAACTTCAGGGCCAGTGCTCTATCCACTGCGTCACCTCGCTACCCCTAGTTTCATTTTAAAAAATTATTGTCATGATATCTAATTGAACTTAAAAAAATGTTTGTTGCCTGCCTGTCCTCAGTAGCCAGGAAAGGGCCCCCATATAAATGCATGCCTGGGCTTCGTTTCAGGCCTCTACCCAGGTGGCTGATTTTTCAGTTATTCTTGCCTAAGAAGTAGACTGGCACCCATCTTCACTCCAGTTCTCCCCACCCCCAGTCCCATAGCCCTGGGCTGTCAGAACAGAGAAATTGGGACTTGGGGAGGCTGAGGACACCTTGAGAGGTGGCCTAGAAAAATCAGGAGCAATGGCTTCCAGTCCCTGCAGGAGTTTGGGTTCCCAGAGCTTTGGCAGTGTGTTCTCAGATCACATTGTTTGTTTGTTTGTTTGTTTTTGGTTGGGCAGGGGGTTAACTGACTTGCCCAGGGTTACACAGCTAGTAAGTGTTACGTGACTGAGGCTGGATTTGAACTCAGGTTCCCCCTGAATTCAGGGCCTATCCACTGCACCACCTAGCTGCCCAGATCACATTCTTTGAAAATGGGGATGTGTGTTTTACAAACCATAACAGAATTCAAATCTTCATTGATCTTCTTGGAAAAATTCAACGCAAAGATAGGCATGTAAACGATCCCTTGTCAAAATGGGACTTGGATCAACCAAGCAGATAAATCTTCTCGTTTTGTGTGATGGATTTTGCTTTACCAGCTTCTCACAATGACACAGCTTGAGGATACAGAACTAGAGGCTTGAGGTCAATGGAAGAAAATGTGAGGTGCATGGTAGGGGGAACCAAGCCAAAGAGAGCAGGATGACAACAGCAGTGGCCTCTGTTTGGGGGTTTGAGAGCCCCTTATTCTGGGATTCAAAACTACCACTTGTAGAGTCAGTCTGGCCTTGAAAACATTTGTTTTCTCCATATGCTGATCAGAACCTCTTGTGATTCAGGTTGAAGTCAAGTCTGAGGGTTGGCGCTTTATAGACTGTATCTTCACACTGTCAAAATAGGGGAAGCTTAAGAAAAAAAAAAAATCTGTCAATCAGCATTGATTAAGTGCCTACTATGCGCCAGATTCTGCTATGGGCTGGGGATAGATGCAAAGAGAGAAGTGAAACAAAAGGCTAATCAATTGATTCTGGGGAGGAAACCCTGAGGTCTTAAGGAAAGTCATCCTGTCACTTTGATGAGGTGTTTACCTGGGAGTTAATCAGGGACTGTGCTTAGGATCATTGCAGTGCTTTCCGAATGTCTCCTGTAACCGGTGACTCTAACTCCTGCCAACACTGATCCTCAACATTTGACTTCCTTGCTCTTTGTTGTAGACCCAGTGTGTATGGCGAACAGCCCAATGCCTTGTCAGCAGTCGCCGGCCAGCAAGAAAGGCATGTTCACCGATGACTTGCACAAGCTGGTGGATGATTGGACAAAGGAAACTGTGGGAAATGCTCTCATTAAGCCGAGCCTGAACCAGCTCAAAGAGAATCAGCACAGATTGGAGACAGACAACTGGAACAAAGGCTGTGAGGTAAGTGGTGAGTCACGGGGCAGGGCAGGGCTGGGATCAGGCTAGGGACACTTCTTGGGTGGGTGCGGTTAGGCCTGACCTTCGAAAAGCCAAATGGCTGCATTGGTGGCTTCAGGTGTTAGCCCACATTGGCCATGGTGCTGTGCTCTGCCTCTGCTCACATGGTCAGTGACACTTGGGAGATGGAGCAGATTTCGAGGCTATGAGACAATATGGCCCCCTCCAGCAGAAGAATTGGCTCCTAAGCAAGGACTGTGACAATTTGGGTAGAAGCTCCTCTTCTGTGTTTAGGAGCTAAAGCCTTTTCTGCCCGTGGTGGCCCAGAAAGACCTGGAGAGTACTGAGGGCCATGGAGGGTGGCCTGCAGAAGGGGTTGGCTTTGGGGAATTGGGGAAGGTCTTCAGGCTCCATTGGAGCCGAGAAACTGATATCGTTTTGGTTTTGCCGTTCTTTTCATCAGAACACTTCGTCTACGGTGGCTTACACATCAGCCTGGACCTCATCTCTCTCCCAAATCCGTGGCCCAGTCCCAGCCACCTTGCCACAAGGAATCTCCCTCCCATCCTTCCCTGGAGCCTTGCCTTCTTACGGAGTGCCACACGCCTGCCAATTTAACACCGTGGGCGCCGCTGGCTACCCAGTGCAGTGGGTGGGAATTTCAGGAACGGCTCCGCAGCCTGTAGTGATCCCCAGCCAAGCGGTGGGCCCTTTCCAGCCTGGGTTGAATTTGTCAGCTTTTCCAGCAGCCCCAGTGCAGAACTCGGCCCCGGGCCCACCTGGGCCCAAATGAGATCACTGGTCAGGAAGGCCCCCTCCCTCTCCCTTCTGCCAAGGTGTGCTTGTCATTCTGTAAGATGTGCACTTTGTACAGTAGGTGCTGCGCACAGGAATCATTTTTCACTCCAGACCCTAATTCCTCTTTGATACTTGACGTTTTCTAAAATGCTGGTCAGAATGCTTCAGGAAGCTTGCCTTTTGCATCCCCACCCCCCCAGAAACTCTCAACCAGTTGTTGAGAGCTCTCCTTCCCAATACAAATTGGCCTCTTGGTGCACGCCCCCCACCCCCTACTACTGTTCAGCTTGGTGAGCCTTGTCCATAAATTTTACAGGAGCTACTTCAGATAATTGTCACAAGATGGGAACCATGTTATTACATTCTTGATGGTCCAGTCCCATTGGACTTCTTCATGTGTTGTAATGTTGAGTTTAGGCCAAGGCTCATCACCCTGGGCTGGTGGGGATGACTTCCTGTGACCATCTTCGGGTGCATGGACAGAGAGAATCATCTTGGTGGTGAATCCCTGGCATGCCACCTTTGGAATGAGCTTTTCACAGGCACAGGAGCTGAGCAGCATTCTTGGGGGGGGGGGGGGATGTCGAATAACCAGCAACTGGGACAGTTCCTTAATTCTGTTGAAGGGGTTCAGCATTCTCCTTGTTCCCTATATGCCACACATACTACATGGTTTTTTGAGCAGCTGAGAGGTGTGTTTGGCTGTGGAATCCCCTTGGGATTCTGGGGAAAAAAGAGAACTAATGGTTCTAGCCCCATTTGTGCATTTACCCGATAGTAAATGTACTCAACCCAACTTTGGAGGTTAGGAGACTTGAGTTCCCTGGCCTCTGGGAGGTGTGGAGTGAGGATCATGGGGAGGGGAGGGGAGGGGAGGGGAGGGGAGGGGAGGGGAGGGACTTGCTTGGTAACAATTTCTCTAAATAACTCCACCCCAGAAAGGACAGCTTGGGTATTTGAAAGGGTTTGAGCTGATCTGGCAGGTTTTTTGAGGAAGGCAGACTTGGTTCCTTTTCCTTTCCTGAAGTTCACCACAAGGTCATCTTCGAGCCTCCTGGGCTTGGCCTCTGGAGCCAAAAGAGCCTCGTTTCCTAGGCTTGGTATTCCAGGCACCTAGAAGTACTTGAACTCTTTCCCTTCAACTTGAAAGGTTTCAGGACCTTTCTCCATATCTTCAGGCCCCTTCTGGGACCCTTTAGTCTTCTAATAAATACTTGCCCAAATCACCAGTTTTTACCTATCACAAATAGGGTTTAAAGAATGCTTCTAGAAATTGTGTCCTGAGGCTTAAACATTATTACTACAGGCCAATGAGATGACTTTCACTTGGTCTATTTGTTAAGGCCTCTACCGTCTAAAGAGAACCTGGCCCCCTTTCCTCACACCTACACTAGTCAGAATTGAGCATGGGGTGGGGAAGGGGTGATGGATTATCATGCCAACCGTAACCCACCACGGTAGACATAGATGGAACTCTTGCGGCATCTTTTCCAATGTTCATCACATTTTCAGATCCCTGAAAATCTCTTCTCCTCCACTGGCTTGAAGGCAGTGTGCCTTGGCACAATGGTATATGTAATACAGCCATTCAGAAGCAGTGCTCTTTTGACCAGGAAGACTTCCTGCAAGCCACAGCCCCACATTTCCTTTCCTGAATTGACTGTAGAATTGGTCTCAGACCTGCAGCCTCTGAAGGCCCAGTCCATGCTCTCAAATGCCACAAAAACACCACAAGCCCTGAGGGGGGACGGCCATCGCCACCTCTGGTTCACGTAGAGAATTCACCATTCTTGTTTGCCTGCAGACTTTTGGCAGTGCCTTGTGATAATTAGAATCTTTTCAGGTTTTTACTGGAAAGGAGATTTGTTTGAAGAAGTTGGAGAATGTCCTGCTGTCTCCATGGTGAACACAGCAGCTAGGGATGACTTGATAGAGAGAGATGTATGAGTGTATCTCTCTAAACACATGCCTAAAACAGTGAGTCTGTCAAGTTGAAGAAAACTGTTCTTTACATCACTGTTTTTATTTAATTTTTTTTCATTCCTTAAAAAGATTTCCTTCAGATTATAGGCACTTTGTATATACTGGCTAGTTTTCTACTTGAGGATTTTCCATTATTTCGTAATTTTGCTAAATCAGATAAAAGTGCCGTTTTCACCTTTTCTGAGGTATGTGAAACTCCACTCTCCCCTCTCCCCCCCCCCCCCAAAAAAAAAGAGAAAGTCAAGCTGATAAAGAAAAAATCCTCAGTGTATCCAAGAGACTGCTCTGGCAGGAGGCACTGTCCTGTCCCTGGTGAGCATCCCATCTGTTTCCAAACTCTGCACACACACACACCCCCTCAACACAGCTGACAGTCTTCATGAAGATTCCTCTTGAGAAGAAAGTGTGTTATATGTCAAACCACCATGTGTACTTCCCAGTGCAAGTGCAATGCATAGTCCTGTATCTTCGTACCCAAATGTGTGAGCTGCTGTATCATGGAGTATCTGCCGCTGTGTCTGTCAAGTCGGGAGTAGGAAACCAGCTAGTAGCATAAAGCTGAGGAAAAGAACACTTGGTATTTCAGAGAATTTGCTGTAATGTGACAAATGGCTGTTCCGTTCTTCACCCCTTGGCAGTTTTATAGCGAGCATGAATTCTAATGATTTGACAGCAAAAAAAAAAAAAGTCTGCCAGTTGCAAAGGCCCTTTTCTGCTGTGATTTTTAGATTGAGTGTGGCTGGAGGTGTCCAGTCGGATGGAATGGATCATTTTTGTAGCTCCAGGTTTGGTTTTAGTCCGGTTACTTTTCTTTATCTACCTCGTTTTCAGTGCTGTTTGAGGTGCACAAGTTGACGCTGTTGCCTATGAACTTTTATTTTGGGGGTGAGGGGATGCTTGATTTTCAGTGTTTCTTTCAGCCTGGTGGATCCCCTCAGCCCAAAGTTGTGAGCTTGGGATGGGGAGGGGATAGCCCGCACTCCCTGTCAGCTGCCTCTTTCAAGTCAAATGGTGCAACCTGTGCGTCTCAGTTGAAATAAGCTTTGGGGATTTGGGGAGATGTGATATGGAGGAAAGGAATGATGGTGATTAATCCCATGGAAATGAGTTGAAAAAGCAGTGCTTGGGAGGGAGAATGTTGCGAATCAGACAATCCCATGCCTCCCCTTCACTGTATGCCTAGCTTTTCCTGCAACAGGAGAACATTGGAAAATCGACTCCATGCCGGCCTGATGTTCACCATGTTACCAAACACCAAAGCTTGGAGGGCTGTCCCTGGGTGCTTCAAAATGATTCAATCGCATTTGATTTCAGGTTTGATTTGGGAAAACCCAGGAAGTATTTGTCAGCCACCTGGCCTTGGTTTTCAGCGTTTCCCCAGCCACATCACTGGATAGACATTGCAGAAATACATTGACCAGCGGTTTTCTATTTCCTTGTTCAGAGGAAGTGGGGTATTTGGGGGTAAAGGGTGCTGGCTGTTTTTCTATAAGGGCCTTCCATAATTTTGATTGCCTTTCTCTTCTCCCCCCACCCCCCCCCCCCCCCCCCCACATTCAGTAGATGAGCTCCGTGGAGGGAATGAAGCCAACCACCACTGGCATGTGCACAGCCCTGGTTGAGCATGGGAAGAAGGGTGAGCTGGTAGACAAAGCCGAATGTGAAGCTAGGAATATGAAAGAGATAGCCTTGAACCCCAAATCTAGACCCTAGAGAAGGGTTTAGGGCTTGGGTTTGGGAGGTGCTCTGGTGGCCTTTCTGATGAGTAGGAGCCATTGGGCAGGGTTGGGCCAGAGTGGACAGCGAGGTGACGCTTGCACCCTGGCCCCCCTGCCGAACGCAGACAGAAGCTAGCAGCTGTCTTGGGGGAAAGCCAAAGGAGAGAAGGGAGAGGGGCCCCCTGGCTCGCCGCTTCGTGAGCCTTTCTCGGCCGAAGCACGGGCCCTACTCAGTGAAGGTGCCTTTATACTTTGTAGGGGCTCCTTAGGCAGCGTGTGCGCGTGCGGGGACCTCACGCAGATCAGGTTGGGGAGGGAGCTGCCGTCCTCTCCCCCCA